GCCTGCATGGCGGAGACGACGATGAGATGGATAAGGAAGACTGGGAGAGCGTCGCGTCAATGCCCACGGGCAGTGCAATGATATCTCACGCCAAACCATCTCCACTGGGTCCTGGCACGCTCTCCGCTGCGAGACTGAGCATAGGTAACAGACTCAAAAAGTCATTGGGCGAAGGAGGTCGCCCATCGGCTCTCAGACGGCAGTCAGGTGGCATTCTGCCACCCCGCAAACCTGGCTTGTAATATTGAGGGTTTGTAGCATCTATTCGTATGCTCATGTATCCATATGTAAGGTACCTATATGTAAATCTAATGTGTTAGCTTTGGCTTTTGACGCAGTCGTGCGCTGCTGCACCAATTTGCTACCCTCGTCGCCCCTTCCCCCTTGTTATCGTCATCGCCCTTTTCCCCTGAAGCATAAGACTGAATCTCAGGAGTTCCTTCCATCTTCAACAATTGCGGTGTGCCATGTTCCTGCCGTGACGGCGTGATCGTTGTGTTGCCCCAGCCTACGTTTGTATTTACGTTGTCTGCCTACCTCCTTACCTCGGTAGGTATTGTGAACTTTCCTGCCCTCATCCAGCATCATCCATGTACCTCTTCTTGTCCACTATTCAATTCTTCCATCACGCCAACATCATCAACAATTCCATCTGGGCTGCACTTCTATACATGTTACAGCTATTCGTGCCCAGCATTACGTATCCTTCGAATCGGAATCCTGCTTCAATAGCTCACACGGCTTTGCTTGCTTTCTCTCTTGACCGTGTTCTCGTTGTCATTCCATGCTCCGAAGAAATAGCGTTAGGTCCAAATCGGACCTTCAGCGACGCAAGTCAACCTCCTCCGTTCGCAGTGTGCACCTTGAGCATATAAACGCCGCTGCTGCACAAAGGGACGCACATTGTGCTGCTGCTCATGCATTTGCTCGAGGGAGAGAGCGGTCCTCCGATGCTGAGATGCAGAACTTCCCACTACAGCCACCGGCTCCTCAGCGCGAGCAATGCAATGATACCGGCATGACTCGCAACAACAGCGTTACCAGCCGAAGCGGCGATGATAAGGTACAAGACCTCAAGCGTCGGCAAAGCGTTCGTTTCGTCCGACCACAATCCAGCCAGAGTCGCACGAATCGCCAGGCCGGTGGTAGTGAAGGGGAGAGCCACAAGATATCGAGGTCTATTTACACGCCATCAGTTACCCAGACTCATAGATCCCTCCGAGGCAATGACCGCCAGAGCACGGGAAACTTTCGCCTTTCAATGCGAGGCTCTTCACGTAGCGAAACTCAGACGAGTGCTACAATGTCTCGTACTGGCTTTGTACACGCTTTGGCCGAACCGGACGTGTTCTACACTCCTGAAGATGATATTGCCTCGATGCCATCGTCATACAGACGACTTCGCAAGACACGCTCCATGTTCGCCCCTACAAAACCAACTCCAGCTGTTGCTGATGCCGTTACGAACCACAATGAAGCCACTACGTTCCTCAGCGTCGTGTCGCCTAATGGGATTCAAGGACTTCCGTATTCTTGCTCTGTTGGTTACCATCCGGGGTCGAGCCACAAAGAAAATCGGCCGATCTCTGCTACCCCTGTTCTCAAAGCACCCAAGTCCATGAGCTTCTTGAGGAACCGACGTGAACGTATTGGCTCACTAAGCGACAGTTGTGTAAACAAAGCATTAGTGCAATCTCCCAAGCCAGCTTACGAGACAACCTCTCGTCGATCAAGACTCATTTCAAAACCGTCCATGCTCTTCAAACCCAAAACAACTCAACCGGGACCTGCCATGAAGAAGACTCTGCGAAGGAGCAGCTCTGGTAGCGCTTTGCCCTTGAGCATGACATCCGCAAGCTTTCAGCCTGTCAGAGACGGAACATTGAAGCAAAAAGCTAGGAAGGTGTCATCATCTCTGAAGAGCAAGATCAAAACGCTCTTCAGTCTTCACAAGGGTGATGATGATGCCACTCAAATTCCAAAACAGCAGGTCGAGGCCCAGAAGACTCACGTATCTCGTTTCTTTGACGGGCGATACTATGGAAACGATATTGACTTGAGCGGTGTTCGACATGAAGAGGCATCTCTCTCAAGAGTGTCATCTCATGTCCCTACACTTCATTCGGTTCCTCAGGATGAGCTCTTACGCTTCCGCCGAGGAAGCGTGGAGAGTATGGGAACCGAGGTCAGACAACTCTCCGAGGATAAATCACGAGTGACTAGTTGGACCAATTCCGACACCGAATCTTTAGCCACTCCGCAACTTCATACTTCTGTGGAGGCATGCGAGCAACAACGACTATCTGTCATTCGAGAGGTTGGAATGCATGCGCCGCCTTCGACCCTGACACCTCAGTATTATGGAGAGAGCATTCTACAGAAGCTTGATGGCACGGCTCACATCTCCATGGGTCGATCGACCAATTCAAGTCCCATTGTCAATAGCGATCGCGTTTATTCGGCCCTGATGAAGAGAGCGAATGAGACGAAGCAGCTTGCTCATATCGTTGAGCAGCAAAGGAAATCCAGCGGCGCGAACTCGTACCCTTTCCGAACGATCACGTCAAACACGAGCACTACCGAGGGCTGTCAAGACGGGAACGACCAACCGAGCATATCTCAAGACGCAATGATGGCCAACGAGGGCTGCGAAACTGACTCAGTCGACCGTCGTGCGACAACTCCGTCCACTGGCATCCATCCACTTGTCCCGACAATAGACCAGCATTCATCCACAATCCCATCACCAACGATAAGGGTAGTTCCCCGTATCAAAGAACCACATACAGCACCTTTGACTCTAAGTCACCGAAGCTCTGCTTTTTTCGGTAGCCCAGAATGCCACTTCTTCCGCACCAAAAGCCCTTATCGCCGCGCTTTGCAGGAGACGATCAACTCTCAGGAGAATGATGGCGAGTCTCACACAGAGTCGGCTCGGTCAACTATGCACTCCCAGCATCAGCTGCGCCAGGCGGAAACATTTGGATCAGATGTAGCTGGAAGGCCGGTCTATTCCGAGAGTGTCTACTCTGAGCAAAACGCAGATGACAGGGAGACCTCGCCACAAGATACATCGGGTGTTTGCGTTGTACCTCAATCATCAAGCATGCTTGGAGATGCCAGTGTCTTTGTGGATGTCCCTACCTATCGTCCAACAGGTAGTCTCGGTCAAACATCACCCACCGGTGTAATCGATTGGAGAGCATGGCTTTCTGCAAACGCCTCCAAGCTTGAACCACAATCATCTCCGACGTATTCTCGAGACGGAAGACTTGCCGAAGTTGAATACGCTCTACCAAGCATGCCTCAGTATTTTGTACATGACCATGTACCAGGTCATGTTCGAGAGTCGGCGCAGATTGACGATCAAGAAGATGCGGGAACCGATCTTGTCAATCTAAGTACACGGACACCAACTATGCCGAACGGCCCCTTCGGGACCGCTGAGCCTAATATTGTAAAAGTCTCTCCACGTTACCGCTCGGTGACGAAGAAGAACCCCTCAAGTCCGTCATTACTTCAGGAAAATGCGGTACCGCCTTCTTTCGAGTCTTCGAAGCGAACCCCATCGGTTCCTTCAACACCTCCGGTACCCTTAAAGAGTCCGTTGAGCCAATTGCCTGCACAAAACCTCAAGAGCACGACATCTGCAAGAAATCTGAGAGGTGTCAAGTCGGGTTCACCTAAGACCCCTGATCGGACGGAGTCCATAACGGCAAGGCGTACCAAATCCCTAGCGCGACTGCGTTCGTTGCACAAAATCCGATCAATGAACCTTGATACTCCTTGTGCTCCATTTGCATCTACCACGGTAACTAGCCCAAAACATTCAACGAGAACTGGGGTCATTTCTGGATCTGTTACCTCCAGTCCTCTGTTGAGTGCTGCAGTGCTACGACAATTTGGGCCAGACTTACAAGAAGCTGATTCTGAGGCAGCCATCAATGACGGAACGAACATGTCACGGACTGAACCCAGTGGCCATAGTGAGATACAGACACCCGAACACCACAGTACTGATCCAGAAACTCAAGCAATTGGCAGTAGACAGATGGTGGAAGATTTTCTCAGCAGTCGTCGACGAAGAATGACTAGCGAAGACGAAAGCCTGGCGTTTGTTTGAAGGAAGACCGAGTTACTATTATACAAATCTCTGTTCGGTCGTGGGTACGGGTTTGGTATATGTATGTTTTGCGACTGGGAGCCTGCCATTGACATTGGGAGTAGGTTTAACCGATGGCCAATAACATTTTCAATACTGGTTAGAGGAGTTTAGACGAACACGCATGGGCGGGTGCGAAATGTTCGACTGAAGTGCGTTGACGTTTATGACCACCGAGACTCACGAAGTAGTCTTCCAGAAGAGCCCTGATATCAATAGTAACTTTTTACGCTCTCAATGAAGACTGTCGTTGGCAGTATTTACTGTGACAATGCCAGAACGCCTTGATCGACTGCGGTCACGCAACAGCTTGGCATATTTCCGGCTGAATTCAGGATCACCATCGCCCATCCTAACCGTAGCCATTGATTTCCACATGATCAATCTATAACTCCCGAACAATGTTTCCTATGATGAATTGATTACCCATGCTCAGCTATCTGCCGCAACCGTGGGGTACCTGCATTTGTGGGCGATCGACTCGGCACATCTATCCCGAGGGTGGACTGCTAGAAGAACGATGAAATTTGTTCGGAGAGATTAACCGCCAGCAGGGCTATTTACATATGGCGTCTAAAATAATGCTCGTGCGAGGTTGGATGGAAGGAATGGGTAGCAAAGGGCTCATAAATAGGAAATGCATGCCGCCACTCACCTGTAGCGCAAGATCTTCAGGAGGTCATTGAGCAAATATCAGCATGCCGTTATCGACAATGGCTCAGAGGGTAGCGTTCGCTGCACTTGCAGCCTCACCGGCGGTGGTGGCGGGGGAGTTCCCAAATTGTAGGAACGGCACGGTAGGAAGTTTATAGGTGTTGTGGTCGTGCATTGGACTCTAATGCTGATTTCGTTGCAGCTGGCGACAAATCAGATCTGCAACACGACGCTTGATCCCTGGTCGAGGGCGAAAGCTGTGAGTATCGGATTGCGGAGGTCTTCTTGGAGATGTGCATAGTATCTGACCTTTGACAGCTCGTTGCGGAGTTCACCATCGAGGAGAAGATCAAGAACACGCAGGACAATTCGCCCGGTGTCCCGCGCATCGGCCTGCCGCCGTACGAGTGGTGGAATGAAGCCCTTCACGGCGTTGCGTGGTCCCCAGGGATCAGTTTCGGCGCGGCCGGGCAGCAGTTCAACTATGCCACGTCGTTCCCGCAGCCCATCACCATGGGCGCCGCTTGGGATATGCCGCTCATCAGGGCTGTAGCAGGTGTGTTCTCCCGCGAGACTGCTCGCCGTGGAGCCGAGGGGGGAAGCTAAACCGACGTGTAGAAACGATATCGACCGAGGCGCGCGCCTTCAGCAATGCCGGACGGGGCGGGCTGAACTTCTGGACGCCGAATATCAACCCCTTTCGCGATCCGCGCTGGGGCCGCGGTCAGGAGGTCCCGTCGGAGGATCCGTACTTCATCAGCCAATATGTGAACCAGCTCATCCCTGGGCTACAAGGAGGGCTGCAAGCGGATCCGTATTTCAAGCTTGTTGCCACGTGCAAGCACTACGCTGGATATGACATTGAAGGTAACTCCAACCTCCTTCTTGAGATTTTGGTGATCCGGGATGGCAGCTGAGATGTGACCAGACTGGGGCGGCAACAAGCGGTACGGCTACGACGCCGTGATCTCGCCGCAGGATCTCCGCGACTACTACCTGCCTCCCTTCCAGGCATGTGCGCGCGACGCCAACGCCCAGTCATTTATGTGCAGCTACAACGCGGTCAATGGCGTGCCGACGTGCGCTGACCCCTGGCTGCTGGAAGACCTGCTCCGGGACCACTGGAACTGGACGGGCAGCGACCAGTGGGTCACGTCGGACTGCGATGCGCTGAAGAATGTCTATAGCGCCCATCACTTCCGCAACATGAGCGCGCCGGCTGCAGCCGCGGCAAGTCTGAATGCCGGTACGGATCTGGACTGTGGCTCGTTCTGGCCGGAGAATCTCGGCGCGGCGTATAATGGCAGCTTGTTCAACGAGACCACTCTCGATGTAAGCCTGACCAGGAGGTATGCGAGCTTGGTGAGACTGGGTTACTTCGACCCATCGGAGAAACAGCCGTATAGGCAGCTCGGATGGGCAGACGTAGCGACCGCAGATGCCCAGACGTTGGCACGAAAGGCGGCAATTGAGGGCCTGGTTCTGCTGAAGAACAACGACGCGCTTCCGCTCTCGAAGCCGGGCGGTGCCATCAAGACGGTCGCGGTGATTGGGCCGATGGCGGCTGCCTCGCGGCAGATGCAGGGCAACTACTACGGCAACCCGCCCGTGCTGGTGAGCCCGGCCGCCGCCTTTCAAAAGGCGGGCTACACCGTCTTGACCATCCCAGGGGTTGGCGTTTCGTCGGGCACCTTGGCCGGCGTCGCGGCCGCGCTCGCAGCGGCACAGAAGGCCGACGCGGTGGTGTTCGTCGGCGGCATCGACAACGGCCTCGAGTCGGAGGAGCACGACCGTACCGCCATCGAGTGGCCGGCCGCGCAGGTGACGCTCATCGAGCAGCTGGCGACGCTGACGGCCGAAGCGGGCAAGGAGAAGCCGTTTGTGGTCGTGCAGATGGGCACGGTGGTGGATGCCAGCGCCGTGCGGGATAGTACTGGCGTGGATGCGCTCCTGTGGGCTGGGTATCCGGGCCAGGATGGCGGGACGGCGATTGTCGATGTGCTGCTGGGCAAGACGGCGCCAGCGGGAAGGCTACCGTTCACTCAGTACCCTGCTGGTTATGTGGATGAGGTGCCAATGACGGATATGGCGTTGAGGCCGTCGCGGGGGCAGAATGATACTGGGAAAGGTAATCCAGGGTAAGTCTTGATCTTCTCCCATTTCACTCCAAATTGGTCTAACCTGGTCGACTCAGCCGCACATACAAATGGTATGCCGGATCTCCAGTGTATGAGTTCGGTTCGGGCTTGCATTATACCAACTTCAGTGCGGTCATCTCACCAGACTCCGAGTTACTGTCGCAGTTCACCACATCTGCCCTTTTGGCACAGTCCTCAACAGCCGCATCGTATAAGGATCTTCTCCCATTCGCGTCGGTTCCAGTGACCGTGTCCAACACGGGGAATGTGACGAGCGACTTCGTCGTCATGGCCTTCTTGAAGGGCGAGTACGGGCCGAAGCCGTACCCGCTGAAGAGTCTGGCGGCCTTCACGCGCTTGCATGATATCCCGGCTGGGACAAGTGTGAATGCTACGCTCGAGATCCAGATGGGGAGCGTGGCGAGGAGTGATGAGCAGGGGAATCTGGTGCTGTGGCCGGGACAGTATAGTCTTGTGTTAGATATTGATAGCAAGGATTCGTGGAACTTCACGATTGCTGGGGATGCTGCAGTCCTTGACGTGCTGCCGCCGCGGAGGACTATCTAAACAATAAGTGGTTCTTTTGAAAAGGGGTAGTCACGGGGGTCCTTATAGAACTTCAGATTTGACACCACAGGGACAATGAAAGGCGTGCTGTCGGTCCGCGCCATTCTCGATCATGCCTCTACCCGCTGGTATACTTATAGTAGTTCGTGACAGTCTCCTTGCGAATATATGAAGGTTAAGGATGAAGAGAGGTCAAGCCAACACCTGGCGCGCGCCGTTTTGAGGGTCAGGGTTTCTGGATCAATTGGGTTTCTTCTCTCTTTTGCGTGGCGCCAGAGTTTGGCTGTTGGTTTCTCACTCTCTCCCACCTTCTTTGTCGATCATCTTGAGCGCGTGTCAAGTGTCGCGTGCGCCTTCATTCCTCATCAACTTCAGCAAACGCGACACTTTGTGGATTGCCCATTGCCATTCCACGTTTTCAACCCCATTGCTCCGTGTTTCCGAGCATCGCCCGGCCAAGGCAGTCGACGATGTCATTGCTGGGTCCTGCGAAGACATGCAGCCTGCAGCTCAACCAACCGCTCCAGCCGGGTTTTCCGTCTTTTGTGCCTTACATCTCCATCGGCGCTATATCTGAGGTTCCACCGATAGAGATCCCCTCCCCGTTTTATCATCTCTGTATACCTAGGAACGATGCCATCCTGTGCGAAGTCGTACAGTGACACCTCCTGATGGCATTTTCCTCCATTCAAACCGGTTTTTCAACTGAGGCGAGAGCCACCAGACAGTGGGCCTGTGTGGGCTGCTGGAGTCTCATACCGGATACCCGATATGTGATATCTGCAGCTATCTTAGTCCAGGAGGCTGAGCCTTGGTCTTTCTCCTCTTCTTCCCTTCGGCGTGTTGCTGCATCCCGCGCGATGATGGTGCTATATCGCAAAGTGGATCGCGGGCATCAACACTAGAACATGTTGAAGGCTGGTGCTGTCCGATAACTCCCATCGGCTTTCCTGCTGCTTGCTGCTTACGCCGGCTATGCTCCGTATATCCAGACTAAGATGCATGGAGAATGAGGAGCTCCCAGCCCAAGCTACCTGCTTGTTAGGTTGTCTAGCGTGCAGCTCTGCTATGTACAATACTGCACTGTTCCTACATTGCCCCCTTTTTTTGAGATGGATGGGTTCCCTCACAGGCAGGGAGGCAGGGCCGGCAGGCTAAAGATTGGTGTCCGGTTGGTTGCTATCCAATACCAACCCCCCTTTCCAGCCCAGCCCGTCTGTTCCGACTGCTGACTGACAGACTGACAGACTGATAGATAGACAAGCTGTCCGTTCGTTCGGGCCTCGGGAGATTCGCAGCCAAGTCAGCCAGGGCACGCGAGAGCACTCCTGCATAGTGTATAGTATAGACTACTGTATAGTACAGCGTGCATCATCCATACCCGTTGCTTGCGTGCTTAGCTTCCAAGCCGTCCGGCCAGCAGCCCTCAGTACTGGGTGTTGGTGTGCAGGCTTGCAGGCGGACCCCACCCCTTCTCCTCTCTTCTCGCAGTGAGCACACCTCCTTAGCACCCATTTAGCAGCGCCGTACCCCTCCCACCGCCGCCGTCTAGCGTGTACACCTGCCCCATTTCTCTTGGCTAGCAGGCTAGAACCCCGCCGTGAAAGCCCAGGATGGCCCAGGATGGCCCAGGACGGCCGATAAGTCGCCAAGATGCCAATCGTCACCCCTCGTACCCCTCCAACTCACGGCTCGCCTCCCGTAGGATAGGATACAGGTAATAGTAGGAAAAGGAAGAATAGGATACCGGTACATGCGCATGCGGCCCTACCTACATATTAAAAGGGCATGTCTTTTTGTATTCTATCCGGGCGCTACTATTCTTGTTTATTTTCTATGGTCTCTAGGTTGACTCACATCCTTCCTCTTTCGCCCGTTTCTGTTTGGTGTGTGTGTGGAAGAGAGAGTGTGCGCCGCCCATGTGTATGAACCACATGCAGCTGCAGTTCCTGTGAGACTTGCTATCTCTCTCTACTTTCTATCTGCGCTCTCTTCCCAGGTTGTCCTGCACTCGACTAGAGAGACACTTCACCTCACCATACCTACATTAGCATACCTTACCTGATCCAGTTCAGCCGGTCTGGCCCTGCATCTGTTCCCTCCCACACGTGTCACCGTTTCGGTCACTCTGTGCCCGAAGCCTGAAGAGTCGGGTTCCTGATTCCCTCTTATTTTCTCTCCTAAAGGTCCAGGGCTGTCTCTGTTTATCTACTCGTGACCGCCGAGTGAACCACCTCGTCCTACCTTGAGGGTGTTGTTGTGTCTTGACTGTCTGATAGTCCTGGTCACTCGCCTCGTCTCACCTCGACCGTTGACACTTTCTCTCCGGGGCCTTACTTTTTATCTTTATTATCCCTATGGTCGCGTCGGTTTCGGGAGATCAGATGTCCTCTTTGTTCCTGTCGAGTGTTTCTTGAGATCATCACTTACACCTCCTTCCTGACCCTCTTCTCTCACCTCTCTCTTCTTATCGCCCTCTTCACCGACACAGAACAACAGCCACAACTATGGCTGCCACAGAAGCTGCACCGCATTTCAGCATGAACGAGATGAGCGCTTTCCGCGCAGAGGATTTTGAAACCGCATCGATTCGCTCTGCGGCCCCTTCCTACAGTAAGTGTGCTTATCGGTGGCTGGCCTCCTTATCGGCGGCGTCGTGACCTCCGGTCCTCGGCTGAGATGTCCCGTGTCTCGACGCCGATACGTCGGGCAGCACCACCAGCTGCCTAGTCTATATGAAAAGCGCAAGAACACGGGTTAACACCAGACAGTCTCCGAAGCACCGTCTTATCACTCCCAAGCCACCACCAACAACGAGCCAATCCCGCCGTATTCGCCCCCGGCTCCCTCCTCCTCCTCCTCCGGCGCCGCCCAGCACACCCGTACCAGCTCGTCGGCGGCGGCGACGCTGCTCCTCCCCACCAGCTACGACTTCGCGCCCTCGCCCGGCCTGCCCCCCATCCCGCCGCCCGCCCCCCGGCGCCCCGAGCTGCCCAGCCTCGGCGGCTTCCGCATCCCCTCGTGGAGCACCGTGACCAGCAACCCGACGGCGCGCCACTACCACAACGTCGCCAGCCGCCGCGTCAACCAGACCAAGCACCTCGAGGGCATCAAGCGCATGGTGCTGGAGCGCGTCGAGGAGGAGGAGCGCAACCGCGTCCGCCCGCTCGAGGACCCCTATCTCGTCGGCGAGGAGGCCGCCTCGCGGGCCAGGCGGGAGAGGCTGGCGCGCGAGAACGGGGACGAGATCCTGTATAGGGAGGACAGGCGGTGGGATTTCTTCCTTGGTATGTTCTGCCCCTTTTGTGCAGCTTTGTGCAGCTCCCCCTCTTCAACTTTCAAGGCTTGCAAAGCTGCTATACCCCTGAGTATTTTGACTAATGGGATCTTGTATAGGCCAGATGAAAGACTGGGACGAGCGTGAGCGCGACCGCGGCTGGAAGGCGCCGTTCCGCCGCGAGGCAGAGACGGCGACGCGCGGGAGGCTCGCCCGGCGCATCACGGGGCGGTCCTGAGAACAGGAACCGACCGGATGGCGCCCGGGCATCTACATTCTCTCCTTCCCTTCCATCTTCTGCACTGCATGATGCATATGACTTGCATGGCGGCCTGTTTGTTTCTTCTTCGTTTCTCACATATTCCGCCTCTGCTAGATGGCCTGACTCGGGGTGGTTATCTCTTCCCCCCAAAAAGAAAAAAAGCACCAGAATGGGCCACCATCACTATGCATCGGGCGGGAGTATATTCTTTTTTTGTTATGGATCATCAATCTTATCAGCTTCATGTTGACTCTTGTCGTCGGCGTTCAAAGGCTGGCCGCCGTGCATCATCTTCTGGCATTGTCGGGGCGGGCTTCTTCGGCTACACTAGGACTTTTTGGTTTGATCTCATGTCAAGTCAGTCGTGAACCTTTTTACGATTGACCAACTGATATAGGTGGAGGAGCTGGGGGAAGGAGGGCATATACTTCGATTCTGACGCTCATTATGGGATACTGTAGGGACATATCATATGGTAGAGGTAGATCGATTCAGCTCGTCAAAAGTCTCTTGAGTAGTTCATGGTGAGCGTGAGCGTGAGCGTGACCGTGTGACCGTGTGACTGTGTAGCGTGTGAACTTGGACTCGGTGATATTCTCAGTCAAGCTGGAAGGACATGTCACGATTTTGGTCGTCGAGATGGCCTCTATTATCATAGCCGGGAGCCACAACGGCCACTAGAACATCATGAATGCCTTTTTCGATGGAAACCGTAGTCGAAATCCTTGGTCTACGGAATGGTGGCTTATGCATGAATCGGAAATAAATATATACGATGGCACAGACTACCTATTGTAATCGCCTTGATCCACTTGACGAGTGTGTGAAGCATGATCTCTGGCAAGCACAGGACTGCTAGTATGTCCGTAGTGAATGCTGGCAAACGTTTCCCACCTGCATGTTGGTCAAACGTGATCAACATTCTGCATTGAATTGTCTACCCAAAACTTCAAGTTGTACATGTCCGTAACGCCGGGCCAAATGCTATCATGGACATTCCCCCTTTCTTGGTTGAAGCCCAAGCTTTTTATACAGCCGGAGTCGGTCGCTCCGCTTCTGACATCAACAGAATCCTGTCTTTGCAAGGCATAGGTTGAGATTAGGTGGGCCAGTAGTGACACAGTCGGAACATGGCCTTCGAGAACGGCGATCGATCCGAGCTTTAACCCTTGCTCTTGGTGTTCAGGATAAGAGCGACAATCAGCCTAGACGCAGTCAGATTCACTGTACTCTCAACACCGGCAAGAGCAGCCGAATGCACAAGTCCACTCACCCATACAGACCCAAGACCTCGCCGAAGATGAGGATCAGGACCATGCCGACAAAGACCCTCGACTGGGACATGTAGGCGCGGACGCCCTTGTCGCCGACGATGCCGATGCAGTAGCCGGCGGCGAGGCCGGTGAGGCCGACGGACAGGCCGCAGGCGAGGTGCATGAAGCCGCTGAACAGGCTGTAGCTCTGCTTGGGCTGCAGGTCCTGGGCGATGAGCACGGAGATGACGAGCGAGTACACGGCCAGGATGCCCGACATGATGATGGGGATCAGGCACTTCATGATCAGGTCCGGCCGGAAGGTGCCCACGCCGGCGATGCCGATGCCTGCCTTTGCGGTGCCGTATGCGGCTCCTGCGCCTGTATTGTGCCGGCGATTGGGTCAGCTTGTGTTCTGTTCGATAGGGGGTGAATGGGGTGGCTGGGAAGGAGGGTCGCTCGTACAGCCAAAGATCATGGCGCTTGCAATACCGGCCTGGGAGAAGTAGACATGTTAGTCGGATATCCCATGTAGGTAAGTCGTGATGGACCAGGGCGGGTTGCTGCTTACCATGCCGATGAACGGCGCGAACTTGGGCGCGAACTCTGAGTCGGCCATTTTGGAAGGTTGCCTCCCTTAATAGATTGAGGGAAGAGAGATGGTTGGCCCCAGGGTGCTCGTCTGACAGCTATGCGCTGATGAAGCAGGGGCGGATGAGGTCTATACGAAGGTGCCTGTGCTTGCTTCGTTGGAGCTAGAGCTTGGAGATGGATGATGGAGTCGCGAGCAGCGTCACGTGGAGCCCCAGGACTGGCAACAGCTGGCGCAGCCGCTTAGCAGCTGCGAGTGTTTAATCGGGGTCGGGATCAGGGTCGGCCCACCCTCAGCTTGATAGGTAGGAAACATGCATTGAAACCCCTGAAAAACTACCTACTAATTTTGAAGGCTCTTGGAGCAGTCATATTAGACTGATCTACATGTAAAGTATGGCTGAGATAGGCACATGGCGAGGTTTATATATAGAATCTATGGCAAAAAGTCCTCGCTGAACTTTAGAGTCTGGCAGTCTGCTCTCTTCTACAGGATGTATGTATAATTTGGACCCCTCCCCTGACCGCCGCATTCTGCAAGCAGGGTGAATCACACGCGTCGTTTTCACGGACTGGGCGTTGCTTATCTCTGCAGGCTGGTAGGGGACTAGGTGCGTATTATTGTGCAGGAGGAGGAGGGCGAGGCGACAGGGTTGGTGCCGTTACAATCTGGCTGAAAACTGGGAACTTACAGCCGAAAGCTGGAAAGGGCCCAACAATGTGCCATATACATCCTTAATCTCCTCAGCTGCAGTTGTAGTTGCTCTAGTCTATGCCCTGGATTGCCGTGTGCCTTTCTTCCATTCCGTAGAATGAATTTTTCAGTCTCAAAAACAAAAATGTGTATGGTGATGACTGACTCTGAGTGACTGAAGTGACGTGAAATGAAACGTGGAAGAACTGTTCTGTATCAAAGCCTCGATATCTGCCTACCGCCTCGCGAATATGCTGATCCCGCTTATCCAATAGGCGATTACCACAGGTGCAGGAGGTAAGGTAGGCATTTAGTCCGGGTCCCCCATTTCAAAGTAGCGAGGCGTCAACGCATCTCGCAATAACGTCACACTCAACAGCCTTTTGTAAGGGGGAAAAAAAGGAGATACGCACGGCCAGCGCTGAACCTCGCCCTGAAGGGAACAGCCACGCCGACATTCCGTTTATCCAAGCCTCCGTTTTCTTCATCCTGCCTACGGTGCCTAGCGACTAGGATTTAAGCCGCCTGCTGGAGATATTGGCAGCCGTTATCTCAGTTGGCGGCCATTAGGCCTAACACGAGTAAGTGAATGAATGAATGAATTGAATACCCCCCCGTCCAGTACCCGCGTGTCCCCACATTTTCCCATTTTCCCCTGTGTGGCCGACAGTGCCAGACCCAGACCCAGACCCAGAACCCAGACAGAGCAAGCAAGCAAGCAATCGGGCAAGCAAGCAACCTAGACGCACGCACGACGCAAGACCAGCCCCATCCAGTCAAGCAGGCCGACCGACCGACCGACCAAGCAAGTTACTGATAACATGTTCCTTCTATTGCAGCAATAGCCATGGCAGACTACCAGCAGGACCGCATGCCTCCTCCCCGGCGGCCCCAGGAATACGGTCACTCCTCCAACTTCCAACGTGATGCCGCCTTCTCCAACATCTTCGGTGCCGCTCCTCCTCCCGGCCGATCCCAGACAATGACTTCCTCCGTCCTCCCGCCCCAGATGATGCAGCAGGATTCATCCCGTACACAGACCATGTCTTCCACAATGTCGGGCATGCAGCGGCAGCCTCCACCCAGGATGCCCCCTGGCGGCGGAGGAGGAGGATATGGCGATGTTTCCCCGAGAACCCGGACCGTAGACTCGAGCATGGCCAACGGGTATTATCAGGGACAGAGATCGATATCCAGCGGCCAGCAGGTCCCGTCTCCCCAGGCTCAGTATCTGCACCAGCAGCGGAACCAGCAGGGTCAACGACCATACCAGGGCCCTCCTCCTCAACAGGGCCCAAGATTCGACTCAAGAGGGCCACCACCACCGTCGAACTACAACTCGCGAACACCGGCGCAGAGGTTTTATCAGGGAGGGCCAGCCCCATCCTTGAACTCCGACCCGTACCGTTCACAATCGCTCGCGAGCGCCCCGAGGCAGCCCATGTATCACCCACCCCCGAACACCTACCAACAATCCCCAGCGAATGCCTTCCGGCACGCGCCATACAATGGGCCGCCTCCCCATTCCGCTCGTACGACTGCGCAAGGCCGAGTCGTCCCCGACCGACATGACGATCGATCGATGTCCATGACCGGCTACGGTTCGCATGAGCGTGATGCCCATCAGACGATGAGCGGAAGAGTCATCCCCAATCGGAGGATACCTGGCTCAAGCACTTCACCCGATGTGCCAACTCAGCAACAGAATGGCTATCCAACCTACCCCGGCTTCACACCTGCTCCAGGAGCACAAACGAGAACAACCACCATGAATTCCACCAGCGGGGAGAGCCAGCGAACAATGTCGATGGCCTCAACCATTGCGCCGTCCGTGGCTCCTAGTGAGAAGACGGATGCGCAGACTTTGGTACATCGCCCTTCGGTGAGTCGATCAATCGAGTCGGACAGGCCACCTACAGGGAAGATACGACCACCGCTGGTGTATCCTGCTCTGCTCTCTCGCGTTGCAGAATGTTTCCGGCAGAAGATTATCACCGGCGATCGCACGAAGAACGAGCTTACGTACAAGAACGCGTTCAGCGGTGCTGAAGCGGTGGATGTGCTTTCATATATTATTAGGACTACAGATCGAAACCTAGCTCTCCTCCTTGGGCGAGCCCTTGACGCCCAGAAATTCTTCCACGATGTCACGTACGAGCACCGTCTTCGGGACTCGACTGCCGAGATGTACCAGTTCAGGGAAACGTTGATGGAGGAACCCGAAGAGAAGCCACCGGTTAATGGCGTGTTTGTTCTTCTCTCGGAGTGTTATTCTCCCACATGTACGAGGGACCAACTATGCTACTCGATTGCCTGCCCCCGACGACTCGAGCAAGTGTCAAGACTCAACCTAAAGATGGGCCCCGGCCTGAAGAAGGGAGACGAGACGACTGTAAACGAAGACGATGTCGACCAAACGGATGAGCAGAAACTATGGATCAACTCCGTTCCTAGAGAGGTTGCCGATAGCGTTGACGACAGGGAGAAGAAGAGACAGGAGGTTATCTCAGAAATATGCTACACCGAAAGGGATTTCGTCAAGGATTTGGAATATCTGCGCGACTTTTGGATCATACCCTTGCGATCCAAGAACTCGCCTATCCCTGCTAACAAGAGGGAAAAGGTCGTTCGGAATATCTTTAGCAACATTATCGATCATCCTAGCATTCATACTGTCAGCTCTCGATTTGCCAAGGCTCTCACGGAACGACAACAGAAGAATCCGGTTGTCCAGAATGTGGGTGATATTTTCCTCGAATTTGTCCCTCAATTCGAGCCTTTCATCCTATATGGTTCGAAGCAATTGGAGGCCAAGTTTGAGTTTGAGAACGAGCGATCGGTCAACAATCAGTTTAGCAAATTTGTGGACGAGATAGAACGGAGGAAAGAGTCCAGGAAACTGGAGCTGAACGGTTATCTAACCAAGCCTACGACACGTTTGGCAAGATATCCTCTTCTGCTTGAAAACGTCCTCAAATATACTGAGGCCGGCAATCCTGACAAGGAAGACATTCCTAAGGTGCTAACGACGATCCGTGATCTGCTCACGAGAGTTAATCACGAGTCTGGTCGAGCTGAGAACCGATTCAATCTTCGACGGTTGAATGAGCAGCTAAGGTTCCGTCCGAATGAGAGAGTTGATCTCAAGCTTACCGAGGAGGGACGTGAATTGGTCTTCAAGAGCAATTTCAAGAAGTCTCCGACGGAACAGTCGGAGATCACCGCCTTCCTCTTCGACCATGCCGTGCTTTTGGTTCGGGTCAAGGCAGTCGGGAAAGGAGAGGAGGTTAAGGCATACCGAAGGGTAAGACTAGTATATCACACCACTACAGAGGAAATGCTCACATGAAGTCTAGCCCATTCCACTGGAGCTTCTCTCTATCAAGGAGATGGAGGAAGTTATACCCCAGAGTGGCTCCGTCAAGCGGTCTTCTTCTAGTTTGCTTCCCAATATCCGCAACACAGGCGACAAGAAAGGAGAAGGCTGGCCGATCACGTTCAGGCATTTGGGTAAAGCCGGTTATGAATTAACGCTCTATGCTACAACGCAGACAGGGAGACAAAAGTGGCTAGAGTACATTGATACCGCCCAGCAGAAGCTTCGAGCTCGTGCAGACTTCCTGAACACTACGCCCATCTCGAGCAACTTCTTCACAGCTACGAATAAAGTTAACTGTGTTGCACCTTTCGGTACGTATCAGCTGCTCATTTTGGTACTGAATTCGCTAATGATTTCTAGACGGTGGACGGAAACTGATCTACGGCACGGACAATGGTATTTACGTGTCGGACCGGAAGTCCAATGGCCAACCGCGCAAGACACTTGAGGCAACCAGCGTCACTCAGATTGACGTGCTCGAAGAATACCAGCTTCTACTTGTCCTTACAAACAGGTCCCTCGTCTCGTACAGCTTGGCAGCTCTCGATCCTAACGAGCCGGCCTTGTCTAAGAGAGCCAAGAAGATCCAGAGCCACTGCAATTTCTTTAAGACAGGAATATGCCTTGGAAGACATTTAGTCTGCTGCGTTAAGTCCTCAGCTCTGTCAACGACCATCAAAGTCTACGAGCCGAACGATGCCATGTCCAAGGGGAAGAAACAGAAGGGCTTCGGCAAGATGTTCAACGCTGGTCAAGATGAACTTAAGCCGTTCAAAGAGTTCTACATCCCGACTGAATCATCGTCTGTACATTTCCTCAAGTCGAAGCTCTGCGTGGCTTGTGCTAGAGGCTTTGAGGTTGTGTCTCTCGAAACACTCGAGACCCAGAGTCTGCTCGACCAGGCTGACACATCACTCGACTTTGTGGCCCGGAAAGAAAACGTGAGACCGATACACATTGAACGTCTCAACGGCGAATTCCTCCTCAACTACTCCGAGTTCTCGTTCTTCGTCAACAGGAATGGCTGGAGAGCAAGGCCTGAATGGAGGATCGACTGGGAGGGAGCCCCGCAGAGCTTTGCGTTATCGTATCCCTGGATCTTGGCCTTTGAGCCCAACTTTATCGAGCTGCGTAACATTGAGTCTGGTGCCGTCCACATTGTGCCGCACAAGAATATTCGCATGCTGCACAGCAGTACGCACGAGGTAAGTCTTGTCTCATTTCGAGTAATTTCATCGGTCCGTTAGCAACTCTAACACTGGATCCTAGATATTATATGCGTACGAAGACGAGAGGGGAGAAGACGTGGTGGAGGCGCTCGACTTCTGGAAGAGCCAGCGCAGGTCCGAGCTGCCGCAGGGATCACCGGATCGACTCGCTGGACTCGGGTCGCCGCCAGGCCACCATTCAAGACTGGCGCAGTGAGGAACGGAAGGCCGGGTTGTTGAGCTGATCCTCGCAACGATCGCGTCCCGCTGCCATCCCATTCTTATGTGAACTCTTACTAATGCCCCTCCTCGCCGTTATGCGGCTCTCCGTTATTCTCCATATAGAGAGGCAGCCGCGTTGTACCAAAATCCACCCGAGTTTCTCGCTAGTCACACAGGACGGTCTCAGGATACGGACTGGCCCCAGAACAGGCCGCTTTTCACCAATCTTCTCTGTCTGTAGTGGATGTGAAAACTTTGTGTCGAGTGTTTCACACTCTGGACGTTGCTTTTCTACGCCACAGACGCAGCGGTGTAACGACTCCTGCGCAACATGCGGCAGCGGGACGCGGCAGATCTACCGGCCATCTGCCGTGTCCACGTGGTCTACTTGATGCATGGTTCGACTCACAAGAAGATGCACGAGTGGGATGTTCCATCGTTTCTCGATTTCTCCCTGGTTCCCATTTTCGAGAGCAGTCGTGTAGTCATACTTGAGCAGAGAGAGAGAGAGAGAGATTGAAGAGCGAGCCGGATTTCAGACGCTAGAGGGGAGATAGATGGATGGCCGACCGAGGATGAACCGGGCATGGACTGGAACCGAGACTGTGTCGTTGCCGTCGTTGTTGTTGCGTGTGTGTATGTTTTTGTTATCTAACTGGCGTGGTGGCTTTTCTGGCGACATATCTTTTTATTTTCTCACTTGAGATCAGCACAGCACAGCAAATTAATAGCATTGTATCTGCGGCGATTTGAGCACCGTCTTCTCTCTTTCCTCTCTGTGCCCGTATTCATTGCTCTGATGCGTCATTGCTACACACGTCTACTTTCCCCCTTTCCCTCCTCAGATGGATGAGTTGAGCTGGAACAGGGCCTAGAACTTGTCAGATAGGTAGCGAGGAAGAAGCGTGATGGTTGATGAGTGAGTGAACAGATGTGTCCGGTCTCAGCGCGCGAGCCAATCCCGCCGTCCGCCCCGGACGACGCTATGACGAGGCAGCCACGGCTTGCGGCGAGGGTTGCAACTGACACGGCTCGTCCTCCGGGCTACGACGTCGGGCTGCTGCCGCTGAAGTAGTCACTGGAGGCGGTCAGGGAGACTGGAAGAGAGTAAGGCAATAAAGAGGAGGATCCGCTGCGTTCTGACCACCAAAGGTTTAGACTGCCCCAAGATCGTCCCGTCCGCTGTGTGTCAAAAGCCTGCCTGCCTGCCTGCTTTCGAGCTGTCTGCCGTGTTGCCATGACCTATGATGACAGTCTCGTTACTAACAGCTGCCTACTGTACCTACCTGTCTGTATCCCTGCCTGCCTGCCTGCCTGCCAGCCATAGAGACCATACAGTACCGTATGCAGCCCGGAAGGGATGTGCCTCGGTGAAGCGAGGCCGAGTTGGGATAGGGCTGTTTCATCCAATCTCTGTCAGTGGGATTTCTAGAAGGGCTGCGTGTCTGTGTTATGTATGCAGCCTAGAAAACACCGTTGAGAGTTGGAGCCATGTATGTAGTACACACACACTCTCTCTCTTACGCACACATCGGATCGTACATTGGCATGCCATGCCATGCCGTGTCATGCAATGCACCGAGCGAAGGAAGGGCAAAATAGGCGAATTGACGATCTGAACGTGGCTCCCCCGGACTTTGCTCCCGTAACACCATCATCATCCATGTGTGTAAGTCTGCGTGCGAGACGAGACCAGGTAGAAACCGAGATGGCAAGAACGAGGGAAAAGAAGAAAGGATGTTGGGATGGGTGAGTGTCACCCGCACCTTGACCCATACCCATACCCATACCCGATCAGCCTGCCGATGGTGGATTGCGGCGGCCCTCTGCGTGGGGTCAGTCGAGCATGGCGTGCATCAGCCCAGCCCCAAGCCAAGCGAGGAGGAGGCGGTAGCTTGCTCCAACAGTTGGGGACGGTGATCGATCGAATCGAACGAACTCAGACTCGGCAAAATCCGGTTTCTTTTTCTTTTTCTTTGTCATTCCAGTATTGATTGTTCTGACATAACTCTAAATCTGGCAACAGGAAACAGAGGCGTTTTGAGAATGAAAAAGGAGCCCCACGGCCCTTGTTTGGCACCTGCGACGTGAGGTGTTTCCTTGCCGGGACCAGGGCTGTATACCTCGGTAGGTAGAGCTGCGGGTTGTTCCATCAAAGGGCCACCTCTGGCTGGCGTGGTTGCGGCACGGCAAAACAAGACAGGACAAAAGACCAGCTAATGAGGATGGCGGTTGTGATGATTAATATGACGAAGAGAGAACAAGAAAAGAGAAACAGCGGCACAGGTACCAAGACGGCAATGGAGAGGATTCGAGCAGATTGGGCCCGCCATAGCGAGGGAAAGAAGAGAGAGTTGAGGCCGGGTCCTCAATTGCGTTTCTCTGTGCCGTGGTTGACAGCTTCGGCTAAGGACAATTACAGACGGGTACGTACCTATAGCATGGCTGTCTGATACTGTACAGTACCTACCTACCTGTGTAGCTGTCCCGGATGCACACTGATCGACCGGTGCACACTGGTGCAGTGTAGTGTAGCTGCGGCTTACAAGCGTCTCTTTCTGGCTCTGCCTCCAGTCCATCCAGAATCGTGAATCCATATCATATTACACACCCCCCCATACTGAATCCATACAGTGCTTCATCAAGCATGAGAAGCTGCTGGCTGCTGCTGGCTGCTGCTGTGTCACGGCGACCGGTCAGGCCATGCATGAAGCTCCACGAGGGGGCGCGCGCATGGTCCGTATGGAGTCAATGGACGGCCCCCATCCTGCACAGAAGAGCCCCAATGGCGCCCCCAGAAGAGACCCCTGGAAGACCCATGAGTGGCCCGGTTCACACCTCCCGGGAATCTGGAACCTGGTTCCCCAGTGCCCCACGATTTGCCTCGTCCCAGGAGGTACCAGGCGTCCCAGCCCTGACCGGTCCGTGGATTGGCTGTGGGCGAGCGGCACTATCGCGTATGGGCAGGCCCGGTTATGCAGTGGGAGCACTAGGGAGCATTTTAGCAGGACTAGAGACGGGGCCAGTGTCAGTCAGTGTCAGCTAATTATAAGTCATCTCTCCCGGGGACTGGCTGGGCGGGCCATGGAGACATGGAGACATGGGATGGGGAAGCTTTGCCGGAGACAGCCCCCTTCGTCGTCGTCGTCGTCGTCGTCGTCGTATCGTATCATGACTGACTGACTGAGTGACCGAGTGACACTGAAGACGGCAGACATACACAGTAAGACCTACCTCACCCACTCCTTTGACTTCCGGGGGGGCCGCCTTCCGTCCCATCCATCCCATACCATCCCATGGATAAGACAGGTACCCCTACTTACTTAATAAACGCCTCGTAGCCACGAATTGTCTGATTCGTGTTGAGCTCCGCTCTTCTCCTCCCAATTCGCTTTTTTAGTATTTTGGGGCTGCTGCACAACAAGCTGGCTGCATATATAATATAGAGTTGATCGACCAAAGCTTAGATCTAGACTGTAACTCAATCTCTTCTTTGTCGACCACATCACCAACACCTTCCCAACGACAACACCAAACGATAACCCTCAAGCCTGCCGCATTGTCTCCAGCTCTTACAAAAAGTCAAGAACCCAATTGCACCTTCTAGAAAGTGTCTCTACGCCTCAATTGAACCCTGAACCGCCATCTCTACAAACCTTCACATCCTCAAAAATGTCTTCATCATACTGCGCAAACTACTACGTAAGATGCTTCACTATGCCTATCTCCCTCTGTCTTCCTATGGAATCATATGCTAAGACCTTGCTCAGGGCTCAATCAACTGCCACAACACCGTCACACGCTTCGGCGACAGGTGCAAGCTGTGCCTGGTGAGTTCAAAAACCCCCTTATGCCCCAGAGCCGCGGTGGAATGCAATCTCTGACATGAGCTCGTCCACTCTAGGCCCTCAAGAGCGGAGCCTCACTGAGCCAGGGGCTGCTGCCGGAAGACGAGACATATCGCATGCCCACCATGGCCGACTACCCGCGAAGACACCACTATCGCAGCGGCCCGGAACACGCGAACAGGACGGTCACGGTGGACTCGAGGGCAAAGTAAAACCGAAAATGAAAAGAGCGAGGGAAAAAGCAGCTACATTGAGAATGAGATGAGAGTAATTGTCTGTACAAAAGAAAAGATTGGGAAAACTGGAATTTCAGCGGCGAGGAAACTGGCACAGGTGTCAATGTTGTAAGGATTTAGAACGGATTCTACGGAGGACTAGGTGTCCGTGATGCTCTTCGAATGAATGGCCAGGAAGGGACCGAAAGAGAGGCAGAAAGTGTGCTCATCAGGTCATATCCATTATGTCAAAATCTACATGTTAGGAACCATTCCGGGATATACAAAAAGGTCATATCAACCATCCATCCAGTCCAGTCCAGAATTTCCCAGCTCGTATCAAAAGTGTTGATCCAGTCTACCATATATCAATACTGTCCATCCAAAAGCAATAACGCCCGATGCCTGATTCATTCCGCTGATTCCGTCAGCTGCCATTTCTCGTTGCCAGCAAGGCTTCCAACCTCAAGGTTTCCATCGTCCCAGGCTTTACCAGAGTCGACGCTGATAGTACGTAGGCCGATCGTTCTGAGAGAGCCGCTTGATCTCCTCCTTGATCAGCCTCCGCCGCTCCGCCCTGCTCACGGGCTTCTTCGAGGCGTCGTCCGGGTTGGGCACAAGGTTCTTGTCCCACTGCTCCTTGCCCTGGCCGTCCTTGGCCGCTTTCGCGGCCTTCTGCTTCTTCTTCTTGGAAGACGCCGACTTGTCCTGCTTCACGACCTTTTGCTGTCCGCCCTCGCCCGGCACCGTCTTCCTGACCTCGACGACCATCTCCCTGGCCGCCGCCTTCGCCCTGGCCTCCTTGGCGAGCTTCTCCCTCATCCACCGCGGCATCTGTTCGTCGGCATCGCCGCCGCCGCCGTCGTCGACCACGACGATCGTGCCGTCGGGCAGCTCGGTGGTGGTCTTGCGGAAGCGGTCGGGCAGGAAGATCTTGGGCGAGGGCCGCGGCTCGGGCCGGATGGCGGCGCGCAGCTCGCGGAGGGTGCGCTGCTGGATGGCGTAGCCGCTGAAGAAGAGGGCGGATGTGAAGACGACGACTGGAGAGGTGAAGGGGGTGGACGTGTTAGTCCATGTCTCTTCTAGATTGAGGTGTGGGCTGGAATGCGGGAAGAATGATTATTAGCCTTACCGATTATGGACGAGATGGCGACTGAGACTTGCGACGAGGTGAGCAACATTGTCTCTTAGATGAACGGGTTGTACAGCATAAAACAATTGATTTGAAGTAGTTTAGAAATAATTTATATCGATATTTCAGTATTGAAACGAGTTTCTCGACGAAATGATTGTAATTGCTGCTGATTCTCGAAAGTTGGACAGATGCCATGGTCAAAGTGGGCAGAGTCCCAGAGTCAACAACCTGGCGGGGCAACAATCGATAACATCCTTCTTATCGCGATAAGCCACCATTTGCCTGCACTTCCAGGTCCGCATTTGCATTAAAGTCTGGGGAAGCTTTAAAATTTACCGCTCTCAACATAGCTATCAAAGAGTTGCATATCAAACACCACACAACACATTCCACGCCTGAACTAATACTTGGAGCCTGACAGCATTTCTGAACGAAAATACAGAATACAACACACACCAAAAGAAAAAGATGAGCGGCGGCACCCACCGCGCCGACGAGCGGCGCTTCCTCGACGAGCGGGGCTCGAACGTGCCCCTCGCGCCCAACGGGCTCAACCCGGCGACGATCATGGAGAAGGCGGTGCGCGAGCGCATCGTGGACAGCTACTTCTTCAAGGAGCAGTGCTTCGGCGTCAACGAGGCCGACGTCGTCGACCGCGTCGTCGAGCACGTCTCCTTCGTCGGCGGCACCTACGGCGGCGTCCAGAAGCCCACGCCCTTCCTGTGCCTCGCCTTCAAGCTGCTGCAGCTGGCGCCCGGCGACGACGTCCTCGCCGAGTACCTCGAGTACGGCGGCGACAAGTTCAAGTACCTGCGCGCGCTGGCGGCGTTCTACATCAGGCTGACGAGGCAGGCTAAGGAGGTGTACACGATGCTGGAGCCGTACCTGGAGGACAGGCGGAAGCTAAGGCGCAAGGGCAGGGCGGGCACAAGTCTGACCTACGTGGATGAGTTTATTGATGATCTGCTGATCAAGGATCGAGTGTGTGGTACCAGTCTCTGGAAGATGCCAAAGCGAGATCTGCTTGAAGACCTGGAGGTCCTGGAGCCGAGGATAAGTCCGCTTGGTGACATTGAAGACCTGTTGGAGAGCGATGATGAAATGGAGAACGGAAGGCAAGACAGTGACGACTCTAGGGCGGGATCAGATGAGGGTGCCCATAGGAGAGAGGAAATGGATGTTGACGAGGATGAGACACCGCCACCTCGAGAAAGGAGTCCCTGAACCTTTGAACAGCCTTCAGCAAGGCACAGCAATTATCACCATGGAGGAACCCATTATACGGTAGTGAGCTGATTAATTAGCCGAACCAGCCGTAGAACAGCGCAAGATGGAAGGTCACTCGAAGAAAGCTCTCAAAAGAATTCCCCTCAGGTAAGCTCTAAATGCAACTTGTCTAGACGGGCGGGGACAGACAGCTAATGTACATGGTATACACAGACGTAAGGCAAGTGGCAAGTGCTGCACGGTCCAAGACCATGCCTTGCACGAATATCCACTTCTAATGAAGCCTAGCAGACCGCTGGCCATTGCAAGATAATCGGCATCAGATCTTAGCCAATGACAATCATAGCCGATCCAATTTGATAATGCAGTAGAACTTCTGATTCAACGAGTTCCCGTCTCATCGTGTATGTTCAGCTGACAGGTTCTTCCATGAAAACACAACATCTCACGTATCAAGAGGCTTGCGAAGCAGTTCGGCAACCGCAAGTAGGCGAGCGTCATCCCAATACTGCCCGATCAGTTGCAGGCCAGCAACATCTTCGCCGTTACTGGTACCTTTCGAGTCTGGTGTCAGCTTCATCGGTAGACTTAATGCGGGCAGTCCCGCGAGACTTGCAGGAACAGTGAAGACATCATTCATGTACGCGTCAAGGGGTGTCTGGTCCAAGACTGCCTCGAGCGTCGGCGGCAGTGTTGGCGCAGTGGGACAGAGTAGGAAATCGACCTGCGTCGGACCAAACTTGTTCTCCAGTAACACGCTATCGTCCATCTCGCTGAGATCGAAGTGCTCCTCATCGTGTAGCGGGTTCGCCAGCGCGAAGACACGGTCAAAGTCTCGTCTGACGAGCTGTCGCACCTTCTGCGCTTGAATAAAGTAGTTGTCCATCGCCTCGGAGCTGAGAGTGTATGACCCTAGCAGAATGCGCCGCTTGACCTCCTCGCCAAACCCGGCGCCGCGAGTCTCAGAGTAAAGCACTTCGCCGGCCCCATCACTCGCCTCACTGCGCTTGCCGTAACGGACACCATCGTATTTGGCTAGGTTCGACGAGGCCTCAGCCGGTGCAATGACATAGTATGCTGATAATGCATGTCTTGTTGAAGGCAATGATACCGGCACGACACGCGCACCCAGCTCCTGTAGTCTCTCCCCAATTCGGGTCCACGCTGCTCGAATTCTCGGATCCAGCTCTTCGATATTGTACTCTAGCGGTATACCGAACGTCATCGACCCAAGAATATGATCACCAGGAACAGTCTTCGCCGCAGCCCCCTCAGGGACATAGTACTCTCGAGCCTTGGTACACCTCCTACGCGCGGCATCAGACAAGCTCGTCGGGTCCTTCGGGTCGTGCTCCGCATATAGACGCTTCTCGTTGACCAGCTCCCAGATGGGCTGCACCTCACGCGCCAGGAAACCGACCGTGTCGAGCGAGTTGGCGTACGGCACGACGCCGAACCTCGAGATCATGCCGTAGCTGGGCTTGTAACCCACCGTGCCCGTGTACGCTGCTGGCAAGCGAATCGAGCCCCCCGTATCTGTCCCAAGGCCGATCTGTGCGGCACCAGAGCGCACAGCGACCGCGCTGCCGCCAGAACTGCCGCCCGCCGAGTGGCCTGCCAGGGCGCCTGTGTTGTGCACGGCGCCGAAGACGGAGTTCGTCGAGTGGCTGCCCATGCCGAACTCGTCGAGGTTGGTCTTGCCGACAACGACGGCCCCACGCGCCTTGAGCTGCCGCACAATGTTCGCGTCATAGGGGCTGACATGGTTGGAGAGGATGTCCGAGGCGCATGTCGTAGGCAAGTCGGCCGTTGCGATGTTGTCTTTGACGGCAAGGCGGAAAGAGCCTGGCGGGATGTCTAGAGGTTCCGGTGCTACTCACACAAATTAATAGCTGCGCTTGGGGAGAATTGATACGATTAGGGAACAAACCTCGAGCAATGAACTCATTGAAGGTGCGGCGCTGCTGCGATTTGCAGGCTGTGTGCTTGAGCAGATAGCTCACATGTCGCGGGCGAAGATGCAGGCTCGCAAGCCTGCCATTGAAGGACATGTAGCCGCAGGGGTGCTCTCTCAACGCTCAGTCTAGACGAGTTGCAAAGGTGCGGGTCACATTTGACGGCACAATATGTCAAGCCGAAGGTCTTCGTTCTATGAGCCAGAAGTTGCAAATGTTGTTTGAGAGCTCCTATCGATAACGGCAGTCACATACCTGGCGCCCCACATATAGCGGTATGTTTAGATGCATAGCGCCCTGTCCAGACCCCTGTCACTGGCTCGTACAACTGACTTACAACACCACGGCGGCCCGTGCACTTTCATCTGATGATGCCGCTTCCCAAGTATTTTCCCAGGCAACCGTACGAGGCCATATAATTATCTTTTAGGGCGAAGATGAGTATCTGTTGGGGTGGTCAAGTGGTAAATATCAGGAGGCTGAAATCTCCAGACGCTTCAATCGGCGCCCTTCTGGGACCGATGAGCGCACTTGACGCAGTACCACAGCTAAAACACGATTCGTTCGGTTTCTAGTAAGGTCATAAATGGCTTGAAATTTTTTGGTATTTTTCCTCTTTTATTTTATTTTTGTATCCTAAGCTGTTAATCATGTCGTTTCGACCGAATCCTGAACTTCTGTTCGCCTCTAGATCACCTAGCCGCCTTTACTCACTTGCTTTACAGAACATTACAATCGCTCACGAAGCAGCCTGTGACGATATGTGCAAGATTATGCTGTTGAGATGCTATTCATTCCAGACGGAAAAGAAATCTATGGTATCATATTCGCCCATGCTGGCGATATTCGTACAAGTCATCCCGCTCATTCATCGGCTATAAAATACAGCCCATGCCCACTCAAGCCAGTGTACCACCCACTTACTCACACAATCTGTACACCTATTTCTTGCCCTTGAGATGCCATTCAAAGATCTTCTCAAACAGCTCCTTGCCATTGCCCTCCATAGTATCGCCGTGACAGGGGATGATAGTCTTGAAGTCCCACGAGTGTATGCGCCTGACGCTCTCATTGAACCCCGCCCGGTCCTTGGCGGACAGCACGTACCAGATGAAGCGCTTGGTGCCCTTGGCGTCGCCCTGCGTGGTCTGCAGGCTGCCAAAGACACGGGTGGCCAGGCCGGGCTTCTCGACCGCGTCCTCGCCGGGCACGCGCGAGTACTGCTCCTTGGCGGGCAGGTTGAACATGAGATCGGCCTCGATGAGCACCCGGTCGGGCCGGTAGAAGAAGACGAGCTCCTTGTTGGCGTGCGCGTCGACGTACTCGTACTCGAAGTCGGCGTCGAACTCGGGCGTGATGGTGAAGTCGCGCTTGTGCGCCGCCTCGAAGACGTGCGTGAAGCTCTCCTTGCCGACTTTCTCGTCGGTCATCTTGAGCCGCTTCTCCGGCAGGCCCTCGGGCCCGATGATCTTGGCCGAGGGGAACTCCCTGGCCCAGTCGGACACGAAGATGTGGTGCTCGATGTCCGGGGCGATGATGTACTGCAGGTTGCCGCCCAGCTCGGTGAGCTTGGCCTTGACCTCGGGCGTGAGAGCCACCGGAGAGAACACGGCGAGAGCCCCTGATGTGAGTTTTACTATGTAGGATGTTAGTAAATGAACAGTTGTAGCAATGCCTATTGTGAGTTGCACACGCACCTATTGTGGCTCTGCCTCCAACCTTGATGACGCCGAATCTGGCAAATGGTACTGAAAGGGTGACGACATTTGGCGTGATGTTGCGGATGACCATCACATCCGACGGGTTTTGAGGGATGAGTTTCGCAGACATTTTCGAATTGTCGAATTGCCGCTCAGTTGAGAATGGGTTTGTTGCGACTTGACTTATAAGTCCCACAGCTAACAGTTCTGGCACCAAAGTCTTGCGCAGAAATGGCTTCTTGGTTACTGCTTGTGTCTTCTTGTGACTTGTTGCAGTCCTTCGACGGAAGAAAGCTGATTGGCGAGGCCTGGAAATATGAAAGGCTCTGACAGGTCGAGATGTCCTGCTTGATTGGGTAATCTGCGTGATTGCTCGTTTCAAAGATGTTTCGATCACCAGAGGATGTCGAGTGTGTTGAGAAGCCCACATTGCACACCATGAGCCAGAGGAGCGGAGTCGATGAGATGTTTAAATAGAGGTAGATACTAGGTAGCTAGCTTAGGTCGCTGTTACCGGCACTGACAAATAAGGTGTAGGCTAACTAAGCAAGAGAAGTTTGAGATGCACCTGGGCATGCATGCGCAGAACCAACAGGCTATCGTCTGTCGCAGATCCTCGGCATCGCCCGTAGACAAACAGCAAAGCCTCAAACAGGGTGGTCCTGAGTGAGCAGGAAAAATGGGCCAGTCAGTCAGTGTATTTGGAATGCGTACGCGGTTCTGTGCAATAGCCAATTGCTTTTCCACGGCGATTTGCCCTCTTTTACGCAGGTGGTGTCGAATCGCCCCAAAAAGTCTATCGATCATGACAGGCCTGGTGGGTTTTGGCGGCATGATGTCACACCGGCCGAGGCTTCTGAAGTGCATCAATCTGCCCGATCGGGGCCACTAGCTTTAGCGCCGGGTCTCCGGGATCTGCTGGCTTCCGTACTGCTGGCCTTGAATTAGTACTATGTATTTTAACCATAGAAAAGAATGGCTCTTTATAGACCTACCTAGGTAGGTAGTCTTGTTCGTCGTGATCCCTCCACAGCCACATGCAACATGCTTTATTACAGAACTCAGAGGGCACATAGATGTGTTGATTGCTTCGAGTTTACAGCTGCAATACAGATGTCACCTGTCCCCTTCGCGCGTCTGTACACAAATCATGTACGTCATCGTTCAAGCTGTCGCGTGGTTACTTAAGCATTTTAAAAGAAAGTCCGCATCCGTTCTATATGTCTATAAGTCAATCTGGTAGTTATCATTGAGCCACTATACGCCATCCCTCATCGTCGACATTGATTATGCGAACACGCTGCTTTCGATCAGATGCCTCCATTTCAGATCGCTTCGAAATTCCCTGAAAGCCTTTCTGCAGACTCGGACTCAATGCACGTATAAGAGCTGATGTAGATGACTTCCACGTAGCCCCTCCTAGAATACTCGAACGTGTTCCGATCATGGTCGATACAAGGAAAAGCACGCAAAACGCAATGAGAATCGCATGTGCAATAATCCACTTCCAACGAACCTCAACTATAGACTCTTGATTGAACATTTCTCCGTTGGCTTGTGCGTCCGGATATCGCCTCATGCTGTTCACACGTTGGATTAATAGTCTCACTCCCGTTTGGAGTAGTTTTTGGCAAGCCCTACAAGTTTGTCATGCTGGCTGCAGTATTGTTAATAATGAGCTCAAGGCCAGTCTGATTCGTGCCCCTGATGCTCAGGCTGATGTTGAAGGTTTGGACATGGCCCACCTGGTAGATATTGTAGGGTTCAAATAACGTCTGTCCAATGTCCGTAGTTGTGCCCCAGCTTTGGCCCGTATCTTTTCAGCGTTATAGTCGAATAAATTGACAAGGTGGTGATAAAATCCCAGACATACGTGTAATTCTTCCTTGCAAAAGCCGTCCAAGAAATCTTGACACGCTATTGTGAATATTAGAAGGAACCGAATAGTAGATTCCTCCAACACTGATGCCTGGCGATTGCGGGTCAGAGTTTCTCGTCGCTTTGTGCCGTATAGTAACCGCGGATCCATTGACAACCTCTGTCGTGAGTTCTTGCGCGCACCACTCCAGTATAAGCTCGACAGCGCCATATGTTAGCTTATCATTGGTAATACCCGTAGGGTATATCACAAGGACATCTGCTAAGGGAAGAGTGGCATCCTTGAATTCTATCGAGCCACTAAATTTTAAGGGGTATGATGTAGGATTGCCGTTGGTGATATTATGGAAGGGGCCGTAGAAGTCGCACTGAAGTAGTTATACCCATCCTCAACGAATGACTTGTCTGACAACGAGAAGAAACGACGGTTGCCTGTGAGGGTGAGATGTGAAGATACGTCGGTAAATGATGTACAGACTGCGAGGGATGAATATGACGAGAAGGTACAACTAAGACTTGGACACGATGGGGCGACAGGCTCAACGATTTCGTTTCCGCTATACAAGGCCGATTGAATCGCACCCTTCATACCAGTCGATATAGCACCGAATTGATGGCCACTAGCGTCTACATATCCTCACTTTAGTATTAGTATGAAAATTGTATAGAAGAGTCGATCATACTCGTATCCTTGATCAACATTCCTCCTAGGCCACCCAGCGATACATCGGTCCATATTTTGAGGATCGGAGCTCGAGCTAGAGATTAGTCTGGTGCCGGAGTACGAGCTGGATTATACAGAACCAGTTGTTGCGAGAAGGGTCAACCGCAAACTGATATATCATTGAAAGTGAGCCTAGAATAGTGAATGACTTCAGCTTGGCCGTCGAAAAGAGCCCGTAGGCACCGAAAATTCCACGGCTCGCCATGCTGAAGCTAGACTAAAAGTTGATGAGTTATGTTCGAAATTCCGAAGACGGCGGTTAAGAAGATTCTGAAATGTTCCATTTCTCAGAAAGAAGCCTCTTCTATCAGGCTTCAAGCACCTTTATTAATCCGAATGAATCGTCCAGAGTCTGTTTGCTTTCCTGATGAGGAAATAGTAGTACTTCTAAATGGCGGGACTTTTAAGTTAAGGATGCAGCAGCGATGCCTAGTCCAAAAGAATGATCAGAAACAGAGAGGACAGGGAGGATGTGCATGGACATGGGCTTTCTCAGAAAAATGTCACCAAAAACAGGTGTGAGCACCGAACGTCAGAGTCAGGGCGGTATGATCCATATTACAATCGTCGCATATGTTATTGTCTTTAGGTCTATGGAGGACTCGTGCTTAATAGGACCCATTGGACAGGAGGATTCGCGAGCGAGAGGTTTCGACTTACATAGTGAGGCAATGTATATGTCAAGATTATTCAGAACCGGCGCTTCGCCGTATTATCAAGGGCCTCCCTTCATGTTTGGGCTCCCATCTGTTTCATCGTATAGGCGTCAATACCGGGCTTCACTCGGACTTCTTCTACATAGGTTTCTGGCTCGAATGTTTGTCCTGCCACAGGATCTATCATCTCCGGCCTATCGGGGTTGTATACTCTTCTGGTACAGATGAACTACTGCGATGGACTTTTAAAGACCGCTGGTCGGATGAAAAAGGTTATTTGTCTTGGCGGTCCACGGAGTTGGACATTTCAAGCAGTTTGACTATTGCATCATGTAAATACGCTGTCACATTTGGAAACTCAATTTCTTCTCTAAAAGGGCTTTACAAGACCTAGTTCAATTCAAACTAAAAGCAAAAAGCCACACGATCAGATACACAAATGCCGATCGACATACTGTAACGCCTATTCATCATAACCAGCGAGTAACCATTTTCAAACTTCCGTGATAACCCAATTTAAAAATGTACGAAGTAAAGACAGAAATTAAGAATACTATCAAATGTTCCTTCTAAGCCTCCGTTTCTTATTACTCCGAACCTCAAACTGTTGCTGATGGCCTCGGAAAGAAATAACGATGCACCGTATCCGTGACCTGCCCCAGCAACGGCTCAAGCAACCTCGGATCCGCCTCAACCGGCGACCACCAGGGGTAAGGGGGCCGCTGACGTAGATCTCTCATGTATGCCGCCGTCGCGCCGTTGGCCCTGAGCCAGATCCGCCTCTCCTCCTTCAGCGCGATGAAGAGACATATGAGATAGACCAGCGTCAGCACGCGCGACACCGATACAAACGCGTCTTTGGGGAGCGCCTTTGGCAGCGGCTGCGCCACCTCGCCTCTGGAGAGTCTGCGAAAGTTATAGACCCACCAGATGGGGATGAAGAGGATACACAGGAGCAGCTGCCAGATGGTGTCGGGCGGATCCTGAAAGATTTTTCCAAGGAGTTGACCCATGTAGCTGGGATGCTCCGAGAGGAATATCTCACGCCTAGTTTGAGTGACTGGTACTGGCAGTACTCGATGGTTCAGGCACACATAGCCGATGATTGGCGGGGGGCCTCTGTTGCGAGTCCAAGAGGGACCTCCTGGCGGATTGAGCGTAGGCCTCCGGAATGATCTTGGGAGCGATCCGAATTGGGGCTCATTTGCAGGTTGCTTCTCAGCCTCAGGCACGGGCTCCAATGCTTGCTTTTCATTCCCCTTGCGCGTCTTACTTGTCTCAATGGGGGATTGCTTGAGCGTTCTGGGCACCGTTTGGGATACGAAGTGGCTCGTCCGTCTCTTTGCATACGCTCCCGTGCTCTCTGATGGCGCCGCCTTTGGTTGCGGAGGCGGGAAATCCTCGGGTCTATGAGCCTGGCAAGTCTCTGCGCAGGTGCAGAGTCTTGTGTTCTTCTTCCAATGTTCACAGCACCTGTGCTCTCGACAGCGTCCGCCGCACATGCATGTCGGCAGCCTCTCGGAGGCACTGTAGTGTCGACAACACGGGTGAGCATCGCAGAGCTTCTCACAAGATGCCTCGCCTGTCTCTTGGTTGACGGGGTGTTCGCAATCACCTGTGAGATCACGCAGGTCGCATGGCTCCTGGCAGGAGTACAACGCCTTGTCGGAATCCCAGTGCTTGCAAGCACCGTGGTCATAGCAGTTCCCATTGCAGGAGCAATACCCGTGGGTCCAGGTGGGACACGACTTGAGATCTCTCACATCATGATACGAGCCTCCGACTTCCTCACAATGGCAGGAGCCCTTGTGGTAATGCTCACAGCAGTCGTGAAGATCGCAGGTCTCGTCACAGCCGCACTCGCGCTCCTCGCGGTCATAATGGTCACAGCAGTCATGAGCTGGACAGCTCTCCAGGCACTCGCAATTGCCGCCCGGGCCCCAATGCTCGCAGCATGGATGGGCAGGACATTTGCCCTGGCACCCGCAATACTTGGTGGCAAGGTCTACATGTTCGCAGCATGGCTCCCAAGGCAAGGTTGTGTTGTCGCTAGGGCGAAGCGAATCCTTGACTTCTGAGGACTGAAGGAAAGTCGTTCGGAGATAGGAGTCTGGATGGTAGAGATAGATGGGGACGCAGTTCGTGCAGGGTTCGTGATACACAGTCTCTGGATCGAAGGGCGGATTCTGGTGACCTCCTGGCCATGCTATTCCTTTCCCGCTAAGTCTCCTGGGGGACCCCTTACTGGGTGAAGCGCCGGGTGGTTTTGGGTCTTTCGAACTCTTGCCTGCCGCCTTTTGACCGCCGCTGACTGAACTACCAGCCTTGAGCGCTGCCTGTAGCCCAGATATCTGATCATCGGCTTCCAGCAAGAGGTCCTTCATGGAGCCCTCGAGTCCCTTCAACCTAGCCAACTGAGCTTTCGTAGTCTTCAACTCCTGAACGAGTGCCTCAGTCTCAACAGCTATGGCTTCCACTTCTTTGTCTTTCTCGGCCGTTTCCGCATGGCCCTCTGCTATGTGGGCCTTTGCCTCCTTGTACAATTGCATGAGCTTGTGATTCTGAGCTGCCAGGCGCTTCACATCGGTGTCCTTTGTGGCGTCTTTCTTGGCCGGCTTGACTGCCCCTTGCTTAGATTCCTCGGGGAGTTTACTGCTCTCGCCAGTCGAACGGTCCACTTTCTCGCCTTTCTCGGCCATCTCGCCATCGCGTTTGGCTAGTTGGGCTTTTGCCTCCTTGTATAAATGCATGAGTTTCACGTTTTGGGCTGCCAGATGCTTCATGTCTTTGTCCTTCGAGGCTGTTGTGGCGTCTTCCTTGACCGGTTTGGTGGTTTCCGGAAGTTTACTGCTCTCTCCAGATGAGCTTTCCGGTTTCTTGTCTTTCGCATCTGCGGCCTGGCTAGCACTGGTAGATCTCTTTGCTTCGTCCAACTCATCTTTGACTCGGACGTATTCTTTAGAAAGGCTGTCAAAAGCGGCTGCCATGCTTCTCAGTTCTTGGTCTTTCGAGGATTGTGCCTTTGCAGACTGGCTCTTCGGAGACTTGTTCTTAGCTGATTGGCTCTTCGCGGGTTCATCTTCTGCAGGTTCGTCTTCTGCCCGTTCATCGTCTGCAGGCTTGTCTTTTGCAGGATCGTCTTCCTCTGGCTCGTCGTTTGAAGAATCAGACTCGTCCCCAGGCTGGTCGGCTTGGGGCTGGTCATCTTGAGGTCGATCATCCTGAGATTGGTCATCATCTTGAGGCTGGTCCTCTGCGGGTTGGCCCTTCACGGAATTATCTTTCGGATATTCGCCCTCAGAAGACGCCACAACAGCGGCGGCGGATGACACCCCTGCAGCGGCAAGTTTAGCCTTGATCTGGATATTTTCTTGCGCGAGCTTCTCGACTTCAGAAGCCAGACGCTTCAATTCCCGGTCTTTCAAGGCTAATGCAGCACCATCAGGAACCCCCCCGGGAAATTGCTCCCATATTTGCGCTGTCTCTGTCCAGCTAGCCAAGTCCTTCTCAAGTTGATCGATGTGTCCTTGTAGTCTCGCTCTTTCTTCTTCCGAGTGTTCCAGCTCCTCGTTGAGATGGTCATAGTCGTCCTGAAGCTGCTTGAAACGTGCCGACTCGTCCACCTTGCCCCTTTTTGAGTACTGCCTCAGTAGAACCTGATTGTCTTTCAAGGATTGTCCGAGTTTACGGAGGCTCTCATTTAGCCTGTCGCGCTCTGCTTCCAGATCCTCGACGACTTGTTCAAGTTCTCGGATTTGCATTTCCTTCGTGTCCACGAGTTGAAGCGTAGCGGCCAGGTCCTCGCCGGCCAATTCCAACTGATCTCGCAGTTCCCGATTGTGCTGCCTTGTGTTCAGGTCCAGGTTGGCAGTGCCAGAGTCAATATCGGCTAGTACACGGTCGAGGGTCTCCTTGGTGATGGCCGCATTGTCACCAAAAGGCTCGCCTCCTGTGTCCGGATAATCTGTGGCAGCAGTCAACTTCATGGCGTCCAAGAGGTTGTCGAAAGTGAAAGTCTCATTTTCCCCCTGTAGATGCTCGATTCCTCTCTTGATGCGCTCCTGCATCTCTGCTAGGAACTCTCCGGCACTGGCACGGGGTGTAGTCGGAAAGTCACTGCTCTTCAGCCCGGTAGACAGTAGGGCAGGTGTTCCAGGTCGAGGGGCGGTGACCACCGAGAGATCCCCACGGCCAGCCCTCTGTTGTCGCAGCAGCTTTTTCCTCCAGTCGCGATGCCCAACTGGCTCCTTAGTTTCCTCCATGGATTCCGTTTCTGGCTCTTTGCCTTTCGAGTCATCATGACCAGAGCCTCCAGCAGCTATTGTAATTGCGGTTAGAATAAGATGTTGTGTCTACGTCAAAGGTAACTCACCTTCTGCAGATTGTCCCTCCTTACTTAATGCCCACTCCTCTTGACTGCTATGCTGCGATTCCGTAGCTGGTCGCGAAAGCACCCAACTCAACGGATTGAAAGCCGAGAAAATACTGGAAGCCCTACTCGGCGGAGCAGGACGACCAGGGCTGACAGATTTCGGTTCAGGAGCTGGTGGCTCAGGCTCGCTACTCGCCGTTGTGACCAGGGAGCTGATGCGTTCTCTTAATGCCTGGCTCTCGGTGAGTCGTCTCTCAAGGCCACCAGGTCTCCTCTTAGGCTCCTTCCCCTTCACGGATGGGTCGAATTTGAGGTTTTGAGATTGTGCAGTAGGATTTCCTGATTGGTAAGATTTGCGCGAGCGCAACTCTTCTCTCAACCTTGGCCCGCCTACAATTGCAGACGACGCCAGTCCAGTCGCCGTCCTCGAGAGAGGCGCTCTTGCGGACGTGGACTTTGTTGACGTGGCTCGTCGAATGGCTGTCTCTGGGACGGAAGACTGAGACTTTGACAATGACTCAGAGCTGATCTTCTCACTCTCTTCACTCAAGGGCGAGAGCGACTTCTCTTTTCCTTTGATCCGGATAGGGGAACCAGTGTCTGTGACGATAACAGACTGGTCCTTTCGCAAGGGAAGCTGCATCGAATTCAGAGTTTCTTCAACAGACGGACCGCCGGGAGTCGAATCGACACTTTTCTCCTCTTCTGTAATTGGTGGTGCAAGTCTCCCATATCCAATGTCAGGGGGGCTTTCTTCGGAAGTATCGGGTGACGTCTCAGCCATGAGCTCCGCGATCAAGGCATCGTCCTCTGGGTCCGTCACCTTCCTCGATTGGATTACTTTTTTCATGAAATCCGTTGGGGTCCTCTCGCCGGAGTCGCCAGTGAAGGGGTCAGGAACCGGTTTGCTCGCGGCCAAGGCCGACTTCAGGCTTTCCGGGGGCGAATTCTCTAGCTCTGGAGACATCCATTGCGGGAGACTAGGAGGCGTCTCTGGAGCTTTGACGTGGAGTTTTGGTGCCGCAGATTGGCTCTTGGGAGAGCCTGGCGGAGTAGTCTTAAGCATATTGGTTGTGACTTTGCTGCAAGTATAAGTCTTCACTCTAACAAACTACGTATGTAATGAATTCTGCGCTGGTTGATCGGTGTAATAATCGACGCAACATCGTCCAAAGTCGCGCGGCCATCGTGGGGATAGGTTTTCTTAAGCTGCTTCCCAGTTCCATTGTCTTAACTTTCGAGGATGAGCCTCGAGGTCCCCATCCGTGAGAGTATAAAGAAAAGGGGCCACCGCCATTACGGAAGTTGAAAGAAACGGGTTGCGTCGACGGAAACGGCAGACTTCGCAACAAAGAAAAACAACGCAACTTCGCTGAGATGCTCACCGGAGAGCTCACCAGACTAGATTGTAATCTTTTGGATTGGTTCTGGACAATGGAAGTCATGAGGTGTTGTGGACGCATGCGGACATTTCCTGGATGTTCAGGTCGCGGTGCCCAGCCAGAGTATTTGATCGCTGCCAATTATCACAACACTGCTCTTTGTTTGGCAAGGCGCATGCTGAACGGTCGGAGACGGTGTCAAATAAGCCTTGCGTTCATCCATATCGCAAATTCCCACATTCTCGATGTAAGTGAAAGTATTCACGGGCAGCGCGACACAGAGCTTTGGTGATGCTGGTGGTCGTTGAACCCAATCTAGCTAAACATTTAATATGATTGAAATCCGCGATGATCGTCAGATTAGCCAGACACAATTCCCTTGTGCTTGCAAGACTAGGTCGTTATATCTATGTGCGCATCTTCTTCGTACCGTCCATAAGGGTCGCAAACCGAATACCTTTTCATATCAAACTCCAAACGCCTTAAATCACGACTTGAGCCCTGCAATTCCCCAACGGGTATCTGACGAAACAGGTATAAGAAAGGCCTTGTAGAAATAGTATGCATTAGCTATACCATCCTCGCGCACCGGGCCCATTCTGCTCTGGCTCTTTTCGATGCTCAATCATCGGTTGCTGGATATTGTAGGCCTGTATGATTTCTCGCCAGGTCTTCATGTCCATCGACATAACCGCTTGGTGTTTCATAGTTCCATGTCTGCTAGTCGCAACTTTCTCTCGATCTTCCATGGGTATGGGGCCTGCAGACGTTAGTAAGGTTCGCCTTCAAACATAGAATGGGGACATACTGAGTGATGGAAGATCATCGTCGTCATATTCAACACCAACGATCCCATCACGGATCAGGAAGCTGACATAAAACATGTTCTCCACGGTTTGTCCGAATGACCTTGGATTTACAACAAATCTTAGTAGATCAATGCCACCATCGCTTCGCATGCCGCATTGCTCCATCATTTGTTCCACGTCCTCGTCTGTCGAATTCGGGTCATCATGTGTTGCTTGTACCCTCTCTTCTGCCGCAGCTTTGACCTGAGTGAGCCTCTCGCTGATCTTCCGACATATCGCTGTCAGATCATTTTTCTCAGACTTGGCAATATCTTCTGTTCGCAAGACTTCAGGGCGCACTTCGTGAAGGTCTCTGATGCGCAACGGCGCAGCCCTTTGTACGACCTTGCGAACCTTCTTTTGCACGGACAAAGGCCCAAGAAGGAAGCCTGGAACAGCCGGCCGTCGAATGTTGGGTATGCATGCATACTGGCCGAAATGGGCCCAGTCCAGCATATCGCCTTCATCTCCATCCTCATCCTCGTCGTCTGAGCCCAAGGCTCGCGCGGGTACTCTTCTGCGACGTTGTGTTCCTGAAAGCTCGTCTGCGTCCTCCTCGCTGATACCTCTCCCTTGTCGCATGTAGATTTTGCACTTAGCCACCAACTCATCCACGTCGACTCCGTTTCCAATGTTGCCTGCCGTAAGCCTCTGCAGTTTGCGATGCGCCAGGTCCACGAGGTTCAGCAAGGCCTTGGAGTCGATGGCCGCCTCGGTGGTTTGCTTGATCTGCTCGGAATGCGCATTTAGCTTATCGAGGGTGTCTATAATCTTTGTCGATCCAATTTTCATGTACTCTTCCGAGTTCTCGTTCATGTCCTTCTCGAGATCGCGGATACCCCTCTGGATCTGCCGCCGCATCTCCAGCGGCTGATCGGGATCGTACGCATCTAAGTCCTTGTCGACCTCCATTGTCGCGATGATATGCTAAGGCGATGACTTGGAGAGAAGGATTTCTGAGTAAAACTCGCGACACGACGGGAAGCAGACGCTGAGCGAGCGCACTTGGTAGATTGATCAGTAGGCTCTAGGTAGGTGTGAGACTTTTGAGATACGCGCCGGTGTGCTGGAAGACGCGTTAATGATTCCAGCATGCTGTAGGCGGGGCAGGGGGGTCCCCTCCTGGGCATTGTGGGGGTCACTTATACTGATGGAAGCTGCTAACCGTGTCTGCCTTGTCGAGGTGCCACTTCGAGCTACTGAGGCACGCTAACTGCCTGCCGCGGGGCGCTGGAGCTTACTTGCACCTTCTTGCAGTGCAGCTCCAAGATTGTCTTGTGATCGGACCTGGCGCATGCACATTCCCGGCTTCACCTCTCAACAGCCAGGAGCTGCGCAGCGATCGCCTCTACTCTATGACCTCCTGAAATGACATAGCGAGAGTGGCATGGGCAGCCATCGAAGCCATGGAGCCCTTTTCATTCGCGAGCTCCGACTCTTTGGACTACCCCGTTAGCATCCGCATGTGAGTTGCCAATCACCAGCCATGCCGCTCTTCACCTTGACAATGTGTCCAGGATGTCAGCTAATGTTACTACCTTCACAGATTCAACTTGGAAGGCGACGAGACTCCTTTCTTATACTCAACTCTTCTCGACCGACCAGAACTGCGCCATGTAGGCTCCAATGCGAGGTATGCCATAGCCAACCTGGCTGCAACACCGTCGCTAACTTGATCTCCTCCCAGCACACACTCCGATCTCTACGTAACCGTCCAGGTATGGGCTGGTTCCAAGCCCCTCACAGTTCCTGTACAGACCTCCTACAAAGCCTTTAAGAAAGAGCGAAAGTGAGTGGCAGCAAAGGCCTGTAGAGACAGACAATTACTAATTCAGCTCCCTCTACAGGTGGGACGAGTGGCTCACGCTTCCTATTAAATACTCTACATTACCGATCAACTCCCACCTTGCCATAACGATATGGGACTTGTCACCCACAGGAGGGAAGAATGCCCAGGGACACGCCATACCATTCGGAGGGACAACGCTGGCACTCTTTGACCAAGACAATCAGCTCCAAAAGGGTCGACAAAAGTGCCAGGTTCACCGCCACAAGCTCGCAGATGGCAACGATAGCACGAGTACCCCGGCTATCTTTCCAAAGAAGCGAAACGCAAGGAAGGGTGATGTACCCACGGTGGACCAGGACGCGGAGGAGATCGAGAAGTTGGAGAAACTTCTGAAGAAACACGAGATGGGAGAAATCCCCCGAGTTGAATGGTTGGACCAGCTTGTATATCGAGCCTTCGAGAAACGCAACGATCAAGCCTCAAAGAACACAATAAAGACACTACAGCGGCAGCGTGCGCAGGCTGTATTGAATGGAAATGCTGACGCCCCGAACGGAGCAGCTCACAACGGCGAAGTAGATGGCGTTGATGAAAGCCCTGGCCCGTCGAAATTCGTGCTCAATGTTGAGCTCCCGCGATTCGACTTCCCGGTTGTCTTCGCAGACCACGAATACCCGCCGCCTCCGGTCTCATCTATGCAGCATCTCTCGGCATCACAGTCAAACATTGTCCTCAAACCGCCTCCGGAAGTCCAGTTCGGCCCTGGTATCAATGGCCCGGGAGACTCTGATGGTGTTGGTGGGCGTCTTGTTAGGGTGTATGATCCAGAGGCTGGAGCCAGGGACAATCCGGCAGAAAGCAAACACAGGCGGCTTGTCAGAAGTCAGCACCGCCACGGAATTCTTGACAAGGACTTGAAGCCTAATGCGAAAGTGCGCGACGAGTTGAACACAATCATGTCGTACTCGCCCACACACGTATTATCGCCAGAGGAGAAAGATCTGATATGGAAGTTCCGCTATCATTTGACACGCGACAAGAAGGCTTTGACAAAATTTGTTAAATCGGTGAACTGGCAAGACCAGAGCGAGTCAAAACAAGCTGTCCAGGTCTTGGGCAGATGGACCGAGATCGAGGTTGACGATGCGCTGGAGCTTCTAGGTCCGACCTTCGATCATCCTGCGGTGAGAGCCTACGCTGTCGAACGGCTGCGCAAAGCAGATGATCAAGAGCTTGAGCTATATCTTTTACAACTAGTTCAGGCCCTGAAATTCGAGAGGATATCCACAGAAACAAGTCAAGAAGACGTACATGACTCTTCCCTAGCTCGTTTTCTGATATCCAGGGCGGCAGCCAATTTCAGGCTCGGCAACTTCTTCTACTGGTATTTGATGGTTGAGTGCGATGACACAAGCCAGGACCAGGGGGAGGAATATCGCACAATTTACCGGAAAGTGGCATACGATTTCATGGCTGAGCTGGTCAAACTACCCGACGGTGCCGAGAAGCGGAAATCGCTCTTACGCCAGGCCGAATGGATCGCAATCTTGTCAAAGATTTCAGGAGAAGTCAAATTATCACGCGAAAGTATTCCACGCAAAACAGAGCGTGTGAAGCATTTCGTTGCAGACCCCAAGAACGAGTTGCTGACCATAGAACCTCCCTTACCACTACCTCTAGATCCAGATATTCTGATCACTGGAGTGGTGCCCGAGGAGACTATCGTTTTCAAGTCGTCTTTGAGTCCTATTAAGATGGCCTTCAAGACCACGAAAGGAAAGAAGTACCCAATTATCTTCAAGACAGGCGATGATCTCCGGCAAGATCAACTCGTCATTCAAATCATCAAGCTGATGGACAGGCTCCTGCAGAAGGAAAACCTTGATCTCAAGTTGACGCCTTATGGGGTTCTAGCCACAAGTACAAGTGCTGGGCTGTCAGAGTTCATCCCGTCTGCCAGCTTCCAGGCCATCTCAAACAAGCACAAAGCCAACCCAGTGCTGGCATATTTGAAGCACAACAACCCAGCCAAGGGCGACGATGCGCCAATGGGGCTACAGAAGGAGACGATGGACACATTCGTCAAATCATGTGCTGGCTACAGTGTGATTACATATATACTGGGTGTTGGTGACCGACACCTGGACAACCTGCTCCTGACACCAAATGGTCACTTCTTCCATGCCGACTTTGGATTCATCCTTGGTCGCGACCCCAAACCGTTCGCACCGCTCATGAAGCTGTCCAAGGAGATGGTGGATTGTATGGGTGGAACCAATTCAGAGCAGTACAGGCAGTTTAAGCAGTTCTGTTTCCTTGCTTACACCGCTCTTCGAAAGTCGAGCAATCTCATCCTAAACTTGTTCAGCCTGATGGTAGACGCCAATATTCCGGATATCAAGCTGGAGCCGGACAAGGCAGTGTTGAAGGTGAGGGAGAGGTTCCAGCTGGAACTCACCGAGGAGAATGCGCTGCGGCATCTCGAGCGAGTTATTGATGACAGCCTCAACTCTTATGCTCCTGTCGTCATTGATCGTCTGCACGAGTTTGTTCAAGCTTTTAGAGCCTGAAAAATGTTGCTCAAGGAGCACGGAGTTTCATGCATATTTCCGGCGCCTTGAACTATTTTGTATGATTTGGAGACAGTATCGGCCGTAGTCATTGGTGTCGTGGATATAGAACTGCTTCTTTACCATTCTGACCATTGGTATCTCTTAGCAACCATCGTACACGTAGCATGTTCTCTAAATATGTACAGATCTATAACAGAGCCGAGCCTGACTCCGATTCAGGTCAGGTCTCACCAAACACAAAAATGCCCTTGCCTGGCCGGAACCCTTGAAGGGTGCCCTGTACGGCTTCCCTGAGTATCTTTTCCTCGGTATCCCAGTCCCATTTCACCTGCTCCAGGGGCGCATCCTTGAACTTGCCGTCTCTGGTCAAATTGAGAATGTCCTCTATTGTGCGCTTCTTGCCCTCTTTGTCTTGAGCGGCCCATCGACTAAGCCAGAAGCCTCTAAAGCGGATATCCTTGAAGATCAGAAGCCCTGTCGGCAATGCGACGGGTTGTTTGGCCATGGCTCCGTATGTCACCATGGTTCCACCCTGACTTAGAGACTTCGCGATGCTTGATGCCGACTTGCCACCCACGCAGTTAAGACCAAGCATAACGGGGTCCTTACCACCTCTTGTCCATTCCTCTTTCAATCGACTGGTGAATGACCTATCCAGGAACTCCTTCTCAGTCACTACCACTGTGGCGCCCAAGTCCAGAAGCTCCTTCTTCATCGCCTCCGTGGCCTCGGGAGAATCACGCTCCCGGATCACATTGATGGATCTAAGGCCCCACAGCGCACCAAGCTGGATCGCCGCCCGCCCGACACCGCTGTTACCGCCATTCTGGATGAACCACGCGCCGCCGCCCGCACTGCCGCTCGCATACGACTTGACGTTCAGATCAATGAGGTCGACATAGTCCTTGAGCATGCGGTACGCACTGCACGGATTCACGCTCACGGTCGCCACCTGCAGGGGATCCAGCCCGTCCTTGTCGACGCGGAGCAGCGCGCTGTCTGCGTTCTCGACCAGTGCGTGGGTGCGCCACGTGCCGAACCCGGAGGCGGCGGGCACGACCCAGTCGCCCTTCTGCAGGGAGGTGACGCCCGAGCCAACGGAGACGACCTCGAGGCAGCCCTCGTTGCCGGGGATGGCGGACGGCTGGGCGGTGCCGACGAGGCTGGAGAAGGTCGGCTTCGCGCCGTAAGTGCCTTGGATGGTGTTCACGTCGGCGGGGTTGACGGGCGCGGCGAGGGTGCGCACCAGGACGGCTTTGGCGGGGAGGGAGGGCGAGATGGAGTGCGTGTGGAGGCTTTGGGGAGGAAATTGTCAGTTTTCGTCGAGTTAGATGCCAATTGATGAGGGTTCAAGCTTACTTTAGCACATCTGTCGGCTCTCCGTACTTGGAGAAGACGAGGGCCTTTGCTTGTGTGTAGCCATACGGTCCGGACTTGCACCTCACGGAGCCGAGAGGACGGAATGTCTGATGTGAGGATCGCTGTAACCCTGCAGAGGGCCGCAGCACGCCTGATGTGTTCAGATACCGTGCAGGTCTGATTGTAGCCATCGTTTCTATCAATTGGCGCTGCCTCTCCACCAGGGATGTGTTGGAAGTTCAGAAGTCAAACATGCGATAACTGAGCTCCGGTCCACCTCTAGCTGCCGGCACATCGACGGCAATATGACGTTTAGCCCACCCGATCGGATCCTGGACTTGAGCTCTGACCAATTACAACCCCTGTCCGATGCCATTTCGCTTGCATGCATTTCTAACCCTAACCCCGGATGAAAGAGAAGAACAGCCTCTCATCTCAAGATATCAGACTTCGAACCTGCACGTCACCCTCTACAACATCGAATGGAAAAACACAACATCAGACGGAACGTGTTACGGAGTTGAATCATAATTCTTTGGAGTGAATAGATACAGACCGCTAGTCTCCAGGTCGAGAGGTTACCGAGTGATCCATCCAAGCAAAAAAAGGCTTTTATCGTGGTAAATCTCAGCGAGACGACAGCCAACGAATATGATATCAGCTTCGCAATGACAAATTTCACACTGGTGACGAGACGTAGACACCAACGGTCGATAGCACAGTCATAAGAAGTCGTTCATTATGATGGCATCACCAACAACAGCTGCGGCGAAGCAGGCCTTCTCATCCGCCTCCCTCACAACAGCCCCTTTTCAACCAAGGCAGTTCTTCGAGGTCTCATCCTCTATCACTCGATCTTATTTCCTCGGCCATCACCATGCCGCTCTTGCACGTATGCAACGTGTTCTCTCAAACATCGGTCTGGTCATTGAGTGTCGCGACTTCCGCGTCCCACTCACATCATGGAACCCGCTCCTTGAGAAGTCTCTCATGTCATCCGCCTCGCCAGTCGGCGGCGGCGAGCGCGCCCGAATCATAGTTTATACTAAACGGGATCTGGGACCGACAGCCTCTGACGCCGCCACGGAAGGGCCTTCCGGCAGTGAGATCGTCAACCGACTGGCAGCTTTCCATCAGCGAGAAGGTCACGCATCGGCGGTCGTGTTTCTCGGCAAGGGCGGCGCGGGTGGCACGAAATTGTTGGATGTGGTGAAGCGCGTGGCGCGCGAGCACGACAGCCTGACTGGCTTGCGGGCGCTGGTGGTCGGTATGCCGAACGCCGGCAAGTCGACGCTGCTGAATCGCCTGCGCGCACAGGGCATGGGACTCGGCAAGGCGGCCAAGACAGGTTCAGAGCCAGGCGTGACGCGCAAGCTCGGCACACCGGTACGCATCGTGCCCGGCGGAGACGGCGCTGAGAACGAGGACGGCAGCCGAGGCGGAGGCTTCGGCGAGGGCGTGTACATCATGGACACGCCGGGCGTGTTTGTGCCGTACGTCAGCGACGCCGAGAGCATGCTCAAGCTGGCGCTGGTGGGCTGCGTCAAGGATGGGCTGGTCTCGCACGTCACCGTGGCCGATTACCTGCTCTACCACCTGAACCTGCGCGACCCGGCGCTGTACGCGGCGTACTGCGGCGAGCCGACCAACGATGTCCACGAGTTCCTGCGCGGCGTGGCACGGCGCACGGGCAAGCTCGTCAAGGGCGGCGAGCCGAGTCTCGAGGGCGCGGCGGACTGGATCATCAAGGAGTGGCGCAACGGCGAGCTCGGCCGTTTCGTGCTGGACGAGGTTAACGACCGCACGCTCGCGGCCGCCGTCAAGGCTAGCGCGGAGCCGCCCATGAGCATGAACCAGGCGCGAAAGAGGGAGAAGGAGCTGCGTAAGGCGAGACAGATGGAACGGATGGCGACTCAGGCACAGGATGCTGTATGAGATGATACTACGTGCGGGTTCTGGATATACTGTACAATGTATTCGACAGAGAAGCCTACGACAAAACGGTCGATGACTACAATACCTTACTCGACAAAATACCCGACTTGAAGGAGGCAACAATTCAAGGGATCTCTTCCTCTATGCACTTCCCAGTCGTTGCTGGTCGCAACGCGAATGCCATAAGCCCTCGAGATGAGGATGGGCCGAATGGCTTCATCGCCGGTAAAGTATGAGGAACTTTCAAAATACATGATTGGCAATCATGAATGATATATACTGTACAATACTCGACTCCAATAGATACGCAATTGATACCCCTTGATAAAGCTGGGCATTTAATCCCTAGCCATACACTCCTAGGTCTGTTCATTAATCTGTTCTCACATCCAGTATCTCACAGACTCTTCACGCCCCCGTGGTATTATTAACTGAATTGCTCATGAGATTCTATTCATACTGATTGGTATCATTAAGCCATATCCGTTGCCCAGCAATACATTGATACGGCGCGGTTTTGGTTGTTTAGTCATCTAAGCCACAAACTCCTTTTGCCATTTGACCAGGTCCCGAGTCAGGATATCCATCATTTCCATACAAGTAAGCTCCTTGAACTCCTTTGGCGCGTTCGTCTGATCCGTTATTGTATTCGGTTCAGCAGCGCCCGTTGCACCCTCGGACGGCTTCTTTCCGGACGAGTCACCGTTCACCGTTATTGTCGGCAGACTCTCCGACGAGCCATTTGGAGTGCCCCGCGGACTCTTGTTGTGCTCTGGTGGTGTTGTCTCACCAGCCATCTCCAACTGCGTTCGAGAGATGAAGTCGAACATCATGGTAGCTCTTCTTTTGAGGTCTGTCATGGAGACCTTGCTATTGAATCCGCCTTTTGATCTTGAATGTGGCTTATGTGTTTCTGACTTCCCATGTGCGGGAGGATTCTCATGTCCTTGCACATCTCGCGACTGTGATCTCGCAGGCGATGCCTCGTCATGCGCGTCGCGATCTTTAGTGTACTGATTGCGTCCTTTGCCCTTCTTCTGATGCGATCGCTTCGACTTTGTCCCGCTCGGCGCCGTAGAAGTTGCCGGCGGAGTGTCGGGCGTCGGTTGAGAAGAGGGAGGAGCCTCCGGGGGCGCGACAACCTCCGTAACCACGGTCGTAGTTGGGGCTGTCGTTGTCGTCGTAGTCGTCGTAGGTGCTGTAGCGGATCGGATTGCGGCCGTGCGAGCTGCCAGTGGCAATTCTTCCGAAGGATCTGAATCTGTATCTAAGTAAGTTTCAGATCCCTTCACAAGAATCGTACTGGCCATGGACTCACCATCAGCTCGCCGCCTCTCGGCTCGGCCTTTTCTCTTGTTGGCCGCCTCGGCTCGTTGACGCTCTCGTTCTTCGCGCTCTGACTTTTCGCGTTGTGTTCTAGTTCCTATGCTCTTTGACTTTCTTGCCCCATTTCTTGTATTTGGTGCGTCTTCGGAGTCTTCGCGGGTCACAATGAGGGTTTTGTCGTCTACCGGAGAGGCTGATCTCGAGCTCGTTCTTTGTCGCTTTGCGCTTTCTTGTTTCCTACATAAATGTTAATTGCGACGGACCTATTTGTCATAATTGATGGTTCATACTCTTCACTGTCGCTACGGCCCCGTTTGGCTCTTCTCGTTCCACCTTCGCCCTGTTCAGGTATGGTGTCCTCTTTGCTGGCCTCAATAGCACGTCGTAACTGCTCTTCCTCATCATATGCTGCATCACGGCTATTCATTGTAGACCGGCGCTTCGAGGACTGGGTTAAAGAGGATTGTCGGCCGCTCCTGCTCTCCTTGCGGGTAGGTGATCGTGTGCCATCCTTGACAAGCGATCCTGCTCTGGAGGTAGCGCGCGACTGGCGGGTGAGGGGCAGGTAGTGAGAGTACCGTTGTCTAGGACCCATGATATTAGCATTTTAAACCCTTCCGATCTTTCTCTGGTCAGGAAGCGGAATGTGAAGAGATTGCATTGGGAGCGAGAGGAGGCTCGACTGGCCATGCGCTGGCCCCCAACTCGCTGACCGGAGCTGAAGTCTGAGCCACACGGCATCGCAAATCACGACTCGATGGGATGAAAATACTGGTGAACTTACCCATTGCTGGCAGTGTATATTTTGTGTAGATCCTTGCGACACTCTTCACAGAAGTATTCGTCAGGACTGGACTCCTCGGTCATGATGCCGACGCAGGCACCGTGCTGCCAAACCTTGCAAATGTCGCATTGTACAAAGAAACCTGCAAGATCGTCGGTGATTTCGCCTGTGAGGAGCGGCTCGATGTCAATTGTGTCTTTCGTCCCATGTTTGGAGTCGTCTTCAATTGGCGGCGGGCCAGGGTAATCGTCGAAGCCGCAAATACAGCGGACGGCTTCATCGTCCTCCTGGATCTCGTCCCCGCCGTTGATCATTTCGATGGTGTCGAGCTTGATTTGTGATCTGTCGCGTTCTTCTTCTTGCCCGCGTGTCCGCCGGCGCTTGGGTAGGGTGTCGTCGGTGCCGGCGACGGACTCGTCAGGTGGCTCGGATGAGAGAGATGCGGTCGGGGTGGATTTCTGGGGTGAGCCGGTCTTGTTGAAGGCTCGTGTGCTCCGTTCTGCGCGGCCGGATGTGCTTGAGGTCGTCGAGGACTGTTGTGACTGAGGCTGGGTCGTTCGCGCTCGTGAAGACCGCCTGGGGGAGGTTCCTGCCATTGCTCGCAGCGAACGCCGCAGTCAAAGGCAGGAAGGAGAGGGGCGCGACTTGGGAAGATTGGACTTGACTCCACAGGAGCAAGCCAAATGTTTCTGATCGCGAACCTAGAGAGTACAGTCTTGCCGAAGCGGAATCTCGACAAGTCGGAGGAGGAAAGTGTGAAGGAGGTTGGGGCGACGGCGAGGAGGGCGGGCGGGCCAGGACGAGCTTGGTGGGCGACAGGGAAATTCTCCAGCTAGTTCACCTCCGGGTAGAGATAGTTGAAGAGGAGTTGCTGCTCGAATTGAGGTATGATCATGACGAACCGGCCCCGAGAGAGTCACTGGCAGGTCAGGTAAAGTTGGGCAGGAGAATGGCGGGACGAGAGAGAGCAGTGTAGCGAGGAGGAGGAGGAGGAGGGCCGGAGGAGGGCGAAATGGCTTTTGGAGCACCCCAGTCACCAGTGCAGCTTCGGGAAAAGAGCCACCACCAGCGCAGCGCCAGTGTTGCCCTGAACTGTGTATGGCCCGCCCGTGCCTTGCTCGACTTAGGTAAGGCGCAGATTTTCCAGGATTACCTAAGGCGACCGGCCAGAGTGCCCAGGTGCCCCAGTCCATCCATTGCAGCCAATGGTGCGGGGCCGACTGCTTATTTCGCCCCAAATCCCAATTTATAAAATTAATGAACTTTTCGAGTGTCTCTTCGATATCGTACCTACTAATTACCAGGTAGGTAAGAGGTAGATATCTTCCGGGCTGTTCCCGTGTGCAAGTGTCGAGTGGCCTCTCCTTTTGCATGCCATCTTGATTCTGGCCTCTCGGACGACGAACTCTCCATCCCAACTCTAGATGAGAGTTGCCCCTGATCAGACGTTGGACCGTTTGGAGATTGCGGCTTTCGAGTCAGGTACCGCAAAGGTTGGTCAATTGGTGATCACGACACTCCCAATTGGCCGGATCTGTCCGAGGAGCCATGGTCTGAGGTAGATGCGTAGGTAGGCAGGTGGGTAGTACGGTAGATGGCTAGTCATGTCTCTCGAGTAGACTCTCTATGGAGGAACATGGACTTGCTGGTCGGTGATAACACCGTTGAAAGATGCAATACAGCATCTTTCTCAGGTGAGGCATCGCCTCATCAGGTTGTCGAGATTGGCGGCATCTCAGTGGCTGATCTGAATCAATGAAGACGAACCTAACCGACCTCGCTGATGATGAGGGGACACGGGCCATCTTCGACCCTTGACCCCGGGACCCCGGTGGCTGCTTGATAGGTGGGTGTACGTACTCTTCCCTAACAGGTGCCGGCGCAGATTGCAGGGAAATTGGTTGTATTATGTAAGGCAGCCAGATAGAGCCCTGTTTCTGAACACCGTTCTCTCTCCTAATCAGACCGAGAGATTTGAAGAACCTCCCGTATCAAATACACACATTAGCAATCAACCCCCATACTCCCGAACGACCTACCTCCTGCAGCACTCTTAGGCAACGCCTCTTGCATTCTTTGCTATCAGATCTTGCTTTCTGCAGCCCGGCGAAGCCTTTTTTGCGATTCTGGTGTTTGCTCTAGACGTTGTGCCTTCCAGGGTAGCTGAACACGCATCTGCAGTGTGCTAAGGTGGGTTGTGTGTGGCCGGAAGACTGGAGGAATGACGCCGTCAACCACAGATGCCCTGGCCGTCCCCAGCTATTGTAGGCGCTCGCCTTGGACCTGATGGCTCCTTGTGCTAGTCCTAGCATGGGTAGAGGCTTTGGGAAATCTTGTTGGTGTTGTTGTCATTCATTCTCTCTTTCAAAAATGGCCTCCTTATTTGAGAATAAATGTCTGATGTGGGCTTTGGGCAGAAAAGGAGACCGGACGAAGCCAGACGAGCTTCCGACAACAATAGCTCCACCACCAACTCGTGACAAACCTCTCAGAAAGCAAACTGTTTAGGTTTTGGATAGATATAAACATCGTCCTAACAACATCACTTCCCAAACAAGTCCAGCACTGAGAGCTAGCTGTCGGGTGGCATCTCTGGACGGGGCCCACGATATGTGATGGGTATGGCATACCTTCTTTACTACTATTCTACCCAGATGGCACCTTCTTTCCCCAATACTTACTTCCTTCGTTCCTTCTTTCTGTTCCGCTCCGCCGTTTCGCGTCATATCGCTTTCGCAAAGCAATATGCTAGTCTCGAGTCTGACCACAGTCTCTGAGAATAATGGGAACGCAAGCCATCTGTCCCGCCGTTGGCAACCCTCAAAGATCATGGTCTTCATAATGATCGTATCTGCCTTGCTTGTCTTGGTCGCTGGGCTAACATTTCGGCGTCTTCGTCGTCGTTGTACAGGCCGCTTCGAAAGTATGTCTCCAGATAGCGTCTCGTCCCTGTTCCCGGATCGGCCCATACGACCATTACCCAAACGACGACTTCGAGAGCGCCTCTCCCCAGACGTTGCCGACTCCATCCAATACCCCCCTGCTCCCCAGACTACGACGCCGCTTTTCTCATACCCGTACAATCTAAAGGAAGAGGATGCTGAAGCCACAGGAGCCACCGGTCGGGAAAGAAGGTTGGACTTGGAGGGAAGCTATGCACCGCGGAGGCATAGGCTTGGGACAGAGAGCGACGAAGATGATGCATTGCTGAGGCGGGCTGTTGTCACCCGGCCACCTCCTGAAGCTCTTGGTCGTTCAGCTCGACTGCCATCGAAGCCGGAACCGCCAAGGCACTCGAACCCCCACCCTCCCTCATCTACGACGTCGTCTGCCGATGGATATGACTCTTTCGAGAACACTAATAATAAGAAGAAGAGGAAAATCCCGACTGCTGGTGACATTTCTATCAATAGTGGACATGGTCTGAACGAAACTGGGTCCGTGCCGGGCTCATTGGGAGCTTCGCTGCCTTCAGTTGAGGGTCATGGAGATATCGCTGGTAGCACGACTGCCCCATACTATGGCTCTGGAAGCCTTGTCTCTGGTGGACAAGGAATTTCAGGTCCTGGGAGAGGGAGGTATGGTAGGGTAAGAAATGGAAGGAGTCCTCTGAGGGCTTTGTCCGATGCGAGCAATAACTGGGCTGGCCGGAATGCAAAGCTGCGTCCACCACAATGGGCATCTCAAACAAGTAAGTTTCCGCATCTTCCACTGCTTTCTTTCCCCTTCCCACGATTTTCGTCTTTTCGTTGCACGGTCAAGGTGCTCTGTGCTGACACATTTATGTCGTTCAAGACGAGGGCACCGGAATCATATCTAATGCTATTGCCAACGCAGAGAAACTCCCCTCACTACAAGGTCAAGAAAACCTCAGTCTTCTCCAACAACAACAACAGCAGCAGCAGCAGCAGCAGCAACAGTCTAGTAAATCCAGTCCCGCGTCAAGTCAGTTTACTTTCACCTGCGACTCTCAGGTGCCTGGGACTCTCGCTTGGCCAGGGTCTGACCCTCGAAATTCTAACATACCACCAAGTCACCAAGCCTCCGGCCAAGGGCAATACTCCAAATCAACGCAAACTGGCTACCCAACATCTTCAGTTTCTGGAGACCCTCAAGGTGCAGGGATGCCACAAAATGGAGCTGCCAAAGGTGGCGCGTCACGACAAGGAGGAACCTTCCCGAAGAAGTCGCGACGCAGCGCCGCCAAGGAGTATCAGATTGCGGCGCGGAAACGCCGCGAGGATACGGCAAGGCAGAACGCGATCAACCCGCCGAAACCTGAAGATCAATGGGTCTGCGAGTTCTGCGAATACGAGAGGATCTTTGGCTATCCACCAGTCGCTTTGATCCGTCAGTATGAGATGAAAGATCGCAAGCTCCGCCAACAGGAAGAGGAACGCAAGCGCGTATGGGAGAAGGCCAAGGCAAGAAGCCGTAAAGGGAAGAAGGGTGCCAAGCTGCCTGCTAAGAGCAACACTGCCGCGCCGGTTCACCCTGGCGATGGGCACCATGCCCCTTCAATGAACAACAACCACAGTCAAGAAACCCAGAGCGAAGAATACTACGACGACGAGTATGAGGATGACGAGGACTACGATGTCGACGACGAGATTCCTGCCTTGGTTCCACCTCCAGTCCAAGGAGGATCGCAATCGGCCGCGGCCGGTCGTCCAGGAGGCGGGACAGAGGGCAATCCAGCAGGCTCATAGCTGCGATCAAACCCTCCTCCCCCATGGTGCATCCTACGGTTCTCGGATCGTGTCTCGCTGGTTTATACCGGACTCTAATTGTAAATACCAAGACGCTCGCTTTGTGGAGGCTACTTTTCTTGCGTCATGAACGAAAGGAGCATCGTCCGAGCTCGCGCTGGGTCTTCCGCGGCATGATTGGGTTCTTTTTCCGCTCAAGTTGTGGTTTCCATGCGATTCATGGACTGGTCCGTTGTCAACATCATTTCTCATCGGGGATCTTCTTCGCAATGACAGAGCTACTCTGGCCTCGTACCACCACTTGCGAGGCAAGGGGTAGTCTGCCTGTAAGCTATCTGTCCGATTTTGGCCCAGACATAGATCATACAAGTCTACGAAATTGTGGGAAGTGTTACACACTTGAGAAGCTGCAGCATTCCCCGTGGCATAAAAGATCGACCCACAGACCCTGCACCTATACCGATTCTCCCCCCTCCCAGCACATTCATATTTTCCCCCCAATACACACAACACAACACAACACAAAACACAATCATCATCTGTCAGAGTCTATTGTAGACTATAAAGTGTCCACCTTCGGGTCCGAAGGTGTGGACGTCGCCTCGGTCAGTCAGTCAGTCAGTCAGTCACCGTCAACTCAAGAGGGTCGCCGTCGAGCGAGTCTCGGAGCGGCCTGCTTGACGCAGACGGCGGCGAGACGCCTTCGTGCGACGCAAGGATATCAAATGCATGCTGTGGGACGTTCCTAGAAAGCGGGATAGATAATTCTACAGAATGGAAGCTAGACATCCACACCGCTGTGATTCCCCATGGTAATATATAGTCAGTCAGTGAGTGCGACCAGTGATCTGTAGTCAGGAGATGCAGTGAATCCCTTGGAGTTCCCCGATCTCGCCCCGCGGTTGTGCCATAACTACAAGAGTACAAGAGAGATACGCTCAAAGACTATGAGACTGAACTCTAAGGTTGTTTGGTTAGATGGAGTTTTGTTGGAGACACGAGCTGAAAGTGAGTGACTAAGACCTGTGGGACAGGACCCTTGTCAAGCCCCAATCCGCCCAATGACGTAGTGCCAGCAACAGAACAGCCCAGTCCTTCGGAGCCGGGGCCAGACCAATGCGGATGACGCTTTCTGCTAATTTCGACTCACAGTCACTACGAGAGCATACCTAACCTATTAGTTAAGCAAGCTGCGCAACGAAATGTATAGATCGGCCGTCGGAGTAAGTCTCCAAGAGACATGATATGATACCTTACTTATGCTAGCTACACTGCAGAGATATCACCTTTCCTTAGCTTGAGTTACTGGGTACGTCCCGGGCAGCCGGCAGTTGCCGACTCGGCCGGACCAGTCAGTGGATAGATAGAGTTTGCTGCTTCAGCTGTGTTGAACAGCGTACAGATTCTAAGACGACGCTGCGATTGGCTCCCGTGCGGTCATGATGTGGCCCTTAGAGCGCCGGATGAGAGACCCTGATTATAGTTTTTTATATGTAGCATAGTATTTGCGTGCTTGCTCGATACAATGCAGAATCCGGTTGATGGTCGATGGTCGATGGTCGATGGCAGATGGCAGATGCGGCCTAGGCTAGGCCCTTTCTGCTGTGTAACAGCTGCCGAAAGGGCCTGCAGATGAAACTGACAAGCACGACAAGGTGATCGGCAGACACGCACAACCTCAGAGCTGCTGCGCCACATTCCAGTCGCTGAGCTGGCTGTTCTCTGGGAGATAGCGCTGGTTGCAGGCTTGTTGGGTTGGCTGTTGGGCTGCTGGTATGTGTGTGGGTGGTGATGCCCGCGTGGGCCGAAGAAACAAGCAAGATCTCCCGCTGAATCCGGCCATTTCCAGTGGTCGGGCAGTTTATGTGGTGCAGGTGGCTTGAGGTGGCTCTCCGTCTCCATCCTCTCCCCAGGTAAAGTAGACTAACAGATAACACAATTTCCCAGCAGCTGCCGCTCCCTGGTCCGCTAAGTTTTTAGGGCGGGCAGCGGTCTACATACATAGTAGTACCTACCGAGCCTACCTCCCTCAAGCATCATCTATCGTCATCGTCAAGCCGCAACATCGACACTAGTCTCTAAGTCTAAGTCTGCTCGAGCTATCGAACTCCCAAATCTTCCTCCACGTTCCCTTGCCTGCTTTTTGCCTGCTTGCTCCCTTCACCACAACACTCACGCACACATCGCTCGTGTCCTACACATTTTCTGACCTCACTCGCCTACTTTTCCTTTTTGACTCGTTTTTTTTATTTATTTTTATTCTTCTCTATGCATCATAATTAGCACCCGACGTTTGTTCTAGGCGCAACGCCCGGCAATCGAGTGGAAGCCATGTTTGGGTCAAGGAGGAAAAAGGGTGCGCCCCTGCCGGTATGTCGCAGTCTCTGTCTTTGCTGTTCCTTCATCGCGTTTGTCTTCAACACTTGATGCCTGTTGCAAGCTTGGCCTTTCTGTGATGCCTACAGGCATTGTGTGCTACCCCGAAAGAAGAGCTTCTATGCGCGACGAGCCTCTACATTGTGGGCCGATATCGATATGGCTCAATATAAAAGACCTCAAGCTAACCATGCCACTTTTGACTTCCAACAGCCCCTCAACGCCACGACTGCAAACCCCAACGCTGCCACTGCCGCTCTGTCCGCGTTCAAGCGCCGCGGATCGAACAGCTCGCTATCAGCCGCCGCCGCTGCCGCCGCCCTCAAGGCGCGACCGACGACACCCACCAACGTCGCCGAGGTCCAGACGAAGCGGACGGCCCGCAGGTCAGCATCTGTTTCCTCAGCCGGGACGGCGCCCGAGCTCGGTGACCGGCCAGGCTCAGGCCTCCAGCGACGGGGGAGCTCCGGGTCGCTGACGGAGCGCACGTTCCGGTCGCAATCGCCGCACCGCCCGTCGAGCAGTGGAGGCCAGCCGAGATCGTCCTTCAACACGGAGGACATGCCGCCGGTCCCGTCCATCCCGAAGGATGTGGAGGCCAGAGAGAGCGCAAAGGCCGGCAAGAAGAGCCTCGGGTTCAAGAGCCCGCCGCTGCGCGTCGCGTCGCAGAAGCTGGGCAAGGAAGCCTCGGGATCATGGTTCGGCAGCGCAAAGGCCGGGGATCCGTCTAATGTGCGGACGTCAGACGCCCCGCTGACGAACCCGCAGCCGCTGGAGAAGGAGAGAGAAGGACGGCCGAGTAGTCGCGGGTCATCCATCAACTTCTCGTATCCGGCGCGGGTGCGGCTAGGCTCGCCGCCGCCAGACAGTCCCACGATCGCGGAGGAGGAGTCAAGATCACAGCAGCCCCCGCCGGCTCCCCCGGCTCCTCAGCCTGAAGTGCAGAGACGGACAAGCAAGCGCGCCTCGACGCTCTCACCCGCTAGAGGCGGCGGAGTTCGATCACCGCGACCTGCGTCTATCGCGTCAGACAGGGAGTTGGTATACGACCCTAATTCTCGGAGAATGGTTCCTCGAGCGGATCTACTTGCTGTGGAGCAGAACGTTATTGATGCCTCAGAGAGGCGTCCCAAGAAGCAGAAGCAGGTGGCCTCGAGAGCTGGCTCGCACCTGGCACAGGGGACTATGGGTCGGCCTCACGGGAGCGCAGTCGACAATGGAGTGGAGAACGAGGCACAGAAAGCTGCCGCTGCTTCATTGAGATCTCACAGAGCTGAGGAACATCATCGTGCCCCTCAAGAGGATGAGTATGAGTACGAGTACGAGCAACCTGCTATGGAAGTTGTCCCAGCCTCACCAAGACAAACGCATCGGAAAATCATCTCGCCGGAGCCTACACGCCAGGGCCAGCGAACGTCTTTGTCCCCAGCATCAAGTGCGCCCGAGGTCTATGCTGGCCAATTTCAGCCGACTGAAAGAAGATCTAGCAACCAGTTCCTCGGTAGGAAGCCTTCGGTAGTAAGGGAGGAGGAAGAGGAGCCGGAAGCCGAGGAGTTGGACAGCCATGCCATTGCATCCCAATCATCCGCAACCGAGTCTCCCCCGCAGCAACGACAAGAAATACACATAATATCTTCGCAGCCTATCGCGATCCCGCATGCCGCACCTGCTGAGCTTCCAGCGGCACCCACACCCCCGCCAGCAGAACCCCCAGCAGCTTTTCGCATCGAGCGCGGCGCTGTCTCCCAGCCCGAGGCGATCCGAAGAGAAAGGGCCCATTCCAACAGTCCTGCGAGGACGGCGCACTTCGGTCCTGTACAGGATAGTCTCACTGTCAGGCACTCTCCACCTCCTCGCTCGATATCTCCTCGAAAATCTGCTCTGAAACAACAGAGCCCATCACGCGGTGCGTCTCCGGAAGATGATACGTCGGAAGCTTCCGGGTCAGCAGTACAGGCTCAGGAGCCAGTCCTACCACGCAAGAAGTCGGTCCGGGTGAGCTTCGATGATCAGAGTACTGTTGTTGTTGGAGAGGCCGCTACGCCCGAGCAGTCAGATAGCCCGGTTTTGCTGAGTCCGCAGAATAGCAAACGCGTTCCGTGGTTCAGTAGCATAACTCGGAGTAAGAAGAAAGAAATCCCCTCTCTTGATGACGATGAGGTTATGCAACCGCGGCCGGCGCTCCCAAGCTTTGGTAGTGTCAGGGAAAAGAAACAAGCTTCGAAAGAGCCGGAAGAACGGCCACTTGTCAGGCCAGTCGAGGCGGCGCATAGTCCTCCCTTGCCCGCTAGTCCGGCACTCAAGCCGAGCATTGCCAGTGTGACTGAAGCAGAGCCTGTTGGTCAGTCTAGTGACCACGCTATAGGGGCGCTCCTTCAGGAACAGGGTCCTAGGACGGAAGCCAATATCTCAAAACTACGGGAACCACTTCCTCCAGTTGTCACCTCGATTGAAGGAGGCGGCTATATGTCCGATACAACGAGCAGCTCTGAAAGCGAGTCTGAGTTGATTGCTGATACTCCGAGACTGGAGCCGGAGATGAGTCAGGCCTCAACTCTAATCACGGAGCCAGAGAGTCAACCTCCGCCCCTAAACGGCTCTGCAGAGGTATCCGAAGTGCCAGGCCAGGGGCAAATTGTAGAGGCAAAGGGCTTCGCGGAAGAGCAAACAGAAGGACCACTGCCGGAGCCAGTCAAAACACCAGAACGTGTCGTACCTTCTATTGCTATCACGCAGCCAAGTCCACGTCTTCCCGATGGAAAGACACCTCCGCGGGATTATCTGGATGTGCCTGGTGGCTTCCCAGACACGGACTCTGAATTGGAAGAGCCTCCAAAGCCACTGGACACGCAAACAGTTGCCGCCCAGCCTGAAGAGCCTTCTACGCCTGTCAGAAGAGTCACTTTTGAGCCAGTAATGCAGAAGGACGATACAAGAGCAGCAGCGCAAACCGCCAGCACTGCCCTCGCAACTACCGTCCCGATCCACAAAGATGACGACTCTGACTCCAGTGGCGTCTACAGTGATGCCTATGAGGATCTCTCGGATTTTGAGGGAGACGGATTTCAGTCCCTTGACGCTGTCGTTGAGAGCCCATTGATAACTACACCGCCCCAGAGCGCTTTTGCCAAGGCACGAGCTGCTCAAATGCAGGGGGAAAGCCCTTCGCCGTCTCCCAGGCCTGTTGAGGAGAAACCTCAACCTCTCACTCTCGCGCCTGAGGCTTTGGAGTCAACTCAGTCGCCACCGGACGATTGGGAGGTTGCCAAGGCATACTGGCGAAGTCTCACCGCTGACAAGCGTGCTCAGTTGGAGAAGGAGGCAATAGAGGATGCCGGAATCGAGGGTGATCTGGAGGAAGTCAAGCAAGAAGATAAGAAGCCCAGACGGAAGAAGTCAGTGGAGAAGCGGGCGGCGGAGAAGAAGGTCATCGAAGAGCAGAGACATGTTGATCCGGAACGCACCTACATGATCAAGCCCGGCACGAGGGTTGAGGCGGATTCATACTCTTCGGCACCAGCAAAGACTATGCGGAAAAAGCAACAGGCTCCTGCCCCTGCTACGCAGCCCGCCACACACATGCGTAAGTCGATGCGTGGTGCGGAGCAACCGCAGCCCAGAGCCAGCGCTACTGTGGGAGGCGTTGCCGCAGGTGGTGCCGCAGGTGGTGCCGGAGGTGCACCCCGGATCCGCAAGTCAATGCGAACCAACGGGCCGGAACCACAGCAAAGATCGGCTCCTGCCGCTCGACCTGTGTCTTACCAGCCACCCAGCTCTGCTCCTCGGCAGCCTCAGGGACATGCTAGGACCATGTCTGATCAAAGCTACCAGAGCTCTCAGGCATCTGCACGAGCAGCAGTAGGAGTGGCCAAGGCGATGCAGCCCAAGCTCACTCGACGGGGATCTGACTCGAGTGAAAGCAGTTTCAAGCGTGCTCGGACCCGGTCAGGTGAAGGCTTTGGCTTCCGAAGAACAATGCGGGGACAGGGGCATGAGCCTTCAAACTCACAGGACAGTGGCAGGCCTTCGTCCAGCAGGTTCTCACTGAGATCGCTTTCGCCTACCGGGTCTCCGTTCCGTCGCTCATCGACTGTGGACTCACCTCCTGTCAGCATGGGCAACCGGATGAAGACTTCCATGCGTGGAACTGCTGAGCCACAGCGTAAGGGCTCACGGCTATCATCGCTCGGCTTCTCTTCCAAGCCGAAAGCTACGGGCAAGACCAGGAAAGCGAGCCGTTTTGGTGATTCGAGCGATGAAGACGAACCCCGCCAGGGCTTCCGCAGTCGTTTCGATGACTCGAGCGACGAGGATGCTGTTCCTGAGAAGCTGCCACCTCTGGCTGTTCCCAAGAACGCCCGAGGCAATATCGCCGCAACGAGGACTACAATACCTGCTAGCCAGACACTGCACGAGGAGGACGAACAGTCTTCGGATCTGCCTGATAGCGATGAGGAACGTAAGCAGCCTCAGCGAAAGGGCTCCGGCAGACAAATTTCGCAAGCCACTGGTACTGTTCAGCGCTCCGGTTCTGGCCGAGGGGCTCTCGTGAGCAGTCCGACATCGCCTGTATCGCCTGGTGCTGGCGGCCGCCCTGTGAGCCACAACCGTCGCAGCAGCTTCATGTCTGCACTGCGACGCAAGAAGCCTGACGGCGCGGGTAAGATCTCCCGGGGCGAGATGATGGACAGCGCCGCACGGCGAGACACAAACCTGGAGAGAAGCGCCAGCGAGCTGAACGCTATCCGAACCAATAGCCAGCGCGGCCAGGCCAGCAGCCCGAAGCTGCAGAAGCGGACGGCGTCCTTCGGCACGCCAGCCCGGAACAGTAGCTGGCCGCTGCCGGACGAGGAGGACGACGACGAGCCCGAACTGCCCGCTGGCGAAGACGAGGAGAAGCACCTGCAACGGCCTAGCACGTCGGGCAACCTCGAGGGCGGCGGCAAGGCGGCCTCACGGCCGGGCTTCCTGCAGCGCCGCACGATGTCTACGCAGGGCACGATCGACACGCACGGCGTGGGAGGCGAGAAGAAGAAGAAGAAGTTTGGCGCGCTGAGAAGAATGTTCAAGCTGGATGATTAGGAGAGGCCCAGACACACGATACTGCTGCGTCTCGCAAGAAATATTTGCCAGAAACGCTGAGTAGATGCACATGCGCCCGCAGCGGCGCCTATTTTCTTTTGTTGGGTAATTGAAATGCGTTGCTATCTTCTTTCACAATGGGCCACCCTTGGAGTTCACCGAGAAAAATACAGGAAACGGTGGATCGCTTGATTGGACTGGATTGGATTGTACAGTCGTATACATTCTTACATACATACCAAGGGCGGCGTATTGTTCTTTTTTTGAATACAGTATGCACACGCATATGCGAGTTCTCTAGGCTGGGACACAACCTGCAAAAAGGGGGGGACTGACACACACATGGCCGGGATTGGCTACCGATATGATTCACTACACAAATCGCTTGCATTGGGAGATACTCACGATGGTGGAGAAGATACCGTTGGCTAAGAGAATAATTAGCTCTACCTAATACTATTATTCACATGAAGCTGTCAAGAGTATAAGCCCTCAATGAAAGAGAGGTTCAAGTGTCTTGCTAGATTATAGTGATTTCACGAAAAGCTCTGTACAATGAGCGGTTCCTAGTATGTGCTTTATCGAACTCCTCAATGAGAGATCCAGGACATTCATAATAGCCTATTCCTCTCGAAACTGCTATTCTCGAGGGGACGCAAGACAAGGCCCAAAGATCTTGAGTTTTTATCTTCATCCGGGAGTATCTCCATGCAGAAGATTGGTTGTGGTCTCCATTGAGCTCTCGTATCCCAAGACACGTTCACAGCCAGCAGCATATCGTCGTCTGCGGTTTCGTGATCGGTGCTAACGGAGGGATAAATCGCCCAAGGAAGCGCCCGCAGTTGAGCCTTGACGGTGAGCACACCTGAGATGACACCCCCATATGGCCAAGATAGGTCTTGTTGCTTTATGGCACAGTTGATAATTTCGATATTCGTCTCAGAGAATTGCATAGCTGGGTACTGGATCTGGCCAGGTAACGACGCCCAAGACCATGACGGACTTCGTCGTTTATTTTCCGGCTCGTCTGTAGGGCTCGGCTTGAACCAAAGCAGCTGCCGTGCCATATCCTGTTCCCACAAACCTGCGCAATAGCGGCCCATCTCTCCTCTCGCTGTCAGAGCGTAATTCTCCGCCAGGGCACCAATGGCAGGGAGGGCATCACTCTGAAGTGTGAGTGAGCGAGTTGTATAGCTGACTATGAGGTTCATCCAGTGTTCACAAAAGTTGTCATATATTGACCCGCTGCTCAAATACTTGGTTAGGCTTCCCTGGTGGTAATTACCAACGAATATCTCCTCGTCTGACTCCGTTGTTGTTAGTCGATCATTGTGACCGCCATCAATTTCAGGGTCGCTGGATATTTGACACTTCCAGCTGACTTGTCTGGTGCCGAATCGAAGGAGCGAGACCGCTTGAGCATGTTCTTGCAAAGTCCATGCCCGCTTGTCAATGGGATCCTTTTGTTGACAATCACTGATCGCGCCCTCGGAAAACACATAGGCGCCTTCATGTGATCCATCCACACTTGAATAGCAAGGAAATCGATACACATTCCCCAGTAACTCTCTGAGATTCCGGGGCTGGAGAAACCCCTTGTGGCATGAATCTGCCACTGCTGCTGAGAGGACCACCTGAGCACCGGCAAATATGGCCTCGATCTTCTGCAATTCTCTCTTCTGGTCATCCCTGTCATCTTGGATGATACAGAGTGCATCAATCCATATGTACTGCAATCCCATCGCTCGTACAACGTAGATAGCGTCTTGGATTGTAGCAGGGAGATTCGCAAGCGCAATTCCGCGGCGAAACTCTTCCATGTTTGCTTTCAGCAATCTAACATTGGCATTGGGGCTGCCCCAGCAGTAGCTGAGGGCCGCGAATAGATATTCCCTTGGTAACCTGGCCACCTTGCTGGCGTCAACAATGTCACGAAGTATCACGTTAGCCTCCCCCTTGGAGCCAATTTCGAGAAGCCGCGTCGGCAACCCCCGAGAACGCTTCCGTAGAGACCATAGCTTTTTTCTCGTTTTGATGCATCGGCGGTGTTCAGTCCAACAGCGATTGGCCCACGTCCGAATTAACTGGAACGTTTCTGGAGACCCCGGATCTAGATTGAGAGGTTTTGCGACATGCTGAAATTCCGGGCTCGTGTTTGCTGAATGCGACGTTAGCACAGGTCTCTAACAGTTCAACAAAGGGTGATGGCCCTTATACATTCAATTCCCAGGAAGTGTAGGGGGTCAGGCTCAAATTCATAGTACTCGTTCTCTTCTTCATCCTTTTGCCACTCGCAGTCGAGCGAAGTGAAATAGTCGCAGTCGAGCGAACTGAAATGCTCCGCATCCAGAACAATATAGAACACCAACGAGAAACAGCTTGGCAACTGGTCCGCGGAGAAGGATTCGATATCTTTGAATTTTTGCAAGCGGGCCAGCCTTTTTTCGAACAGAGGACAGCGATCGCAGCTGGCCTGCGCCACTTCACTGTAAGTAAATCTACATTTCTTGTCACTGCTTGTTTTCCTCTTGATCTCAATCCACGAGTTTCGGCCTTTTTGAACAAAGATCTGACTACAATGTTGGCATGAATGAAGGTCTCGCACATCATAAGCTCCGTTGCTGGGTACAGAAGTCTCCATGATGTAATCAGTGGTGACAATTTCTCTCTCCTTTTTGTTTTCTTTCCCCTTTCCTTTTCGTTGCAACAGGCAGTCGATCGTGCAGCGATCTCAAGAGTGCTAGTCTTGACGAGGCTGGCGCAATGACGGTCTCTTCTTGGTAGAAACAACACTGGGAGAATGTTTGACTTATATATATCTCCATGAGGCGGTTACCGTGGCTGCCTAAACATATCACATCGTCTGCTCCCAACGCGTATTGGACGCCCTCGTTCTTACTCGCGTCTTACTGCGTGCGCAACTGGACGCGTTCTCTGCATGGTGGTCATGTGGCGATACCAAAAGTTACGTGAAGAAAGATTGGGTGGTCAAGTCTTGCATAGTAAGCTCTCTAAAGAAATAGGCATGATTGATGGGAGCTATTATGCTGTGCTGTGGGAGACCAATTTTGAGCAAGAAAAGGCAAGCCAGCTTCTACGTTTATATGACTACACCTCTGCCGGGGTAAT